CACAAACCGATGATGACTCACTCCATCCCAATTCCACACAAGCAAGGCACATCAATATCACAAGTAACCAAACAATTTTTAATATCAACAAATAGTGCAGCACATTATGGCGATTCAACAAAATAATGCATGATAACATGTAGCCATGAATGCATGAATGCAGGCGGATGATGCGAATTATCTAACACTACTCACAGTTAATTATCTAACCACTACTCACAGTTTCTTTATTGTCCTTTAAAGAGGACTTGTTCTTTATTACTACAAATGCTTCCCATGCTTCCAACTTTTGTCCTCGCATTTTGAAATTTTATAAACCTCTAAAATAAAAGAAAATTCTAAAATAAGAATTCTAATTCGAGAAATGTATTTCACATTTATTTATTAGTTTTAGTTACTAATCACTTAACTAACTTATCCAACTAAACTGTATATATAGTGTTTCCTCATTTATTTATTTATTCTAATTTTTAATCTTTAAATAAAACTTCTAATTATTTGGTAAGTAATATTTTTTATAATAATATGAATAATATGAATAATAATCATAATATTACTAATAATAATAATAATAGTAATAATAAGAATACTAAAAGTTTTAGTCGTTACTGCCTATTAAGGATATGACGAATTTAATTCTGTATTAAGTGTTTTGCGCTAAAATTCAACAGTATTTCCTCTATAAACTGTACTATCCAATTTTATATTTTTCCGCATGTCAACACACAACTCATCCATTGGACAATTCACAAACCGATCCCATCTGCCATAACCATCATTCATTCGTTCATTCAATTCACACTGCCTATTCATCGGGCACATTCTTAATCAAGCTAAATTCCCATTATAATTAATTGTTCTATAACTATTTACTTGTTTATACTAATACTTAATAAAATTCCTAAAATTTACTTACATATACTAATACTTAATAAAATTCCTAAAATTTACTTACATTATTATTAGCTAGGAATTCATATTTCAATATCAACCTTATAATTATAATTAATGTTCATTGAATATATTTAGCAATTTTCAATTTAATTTACTTAAATACCCAATTAGATTCTTTAATTAGTTAATTCAAGATTTATACAAAAATTACGAATCGAGTCTTAGAGTGTACCGATTGAGAATCGGACGACGGATTCACAGTCTACAGGAGGAGAGGAGAATTCTGCCATTTTGGTGCCTCGCCGGAGTGTCGCCGGCCGGTCGCCTGACCACTGCCGCTGACGCCGTGAACGGTTGCCGGAAAATCCAAACGGTCTAGAATTGGTCAATCTGCACACCAAAATACTCGAAATTATGCCAGGACCTCGATTATATGACCAATTTGAGCTGAAGATGCCTCGTTTGGCCGGAAACCGCCTCCAAACCTTCGGCCGACCGTCTTCTATGAGCTCATTCGATCCAGGCCACACTACAAACGATTGATGCCACGGAATGGAAGCAGAGGAAGAAAGTAGATCTGCTACAACTGGCTCGTTGCTTGAGATCGTCGGAAAACCAACTAGAGGCGCGATTTGCGGTGGAGCGAAACTGCGACTCCTCTTGCAGTCGATGTGCTTGCCAAAAAAAAGAAGGAGAGAGGAGAAGGGAGGCCTGAACAGCTGCGCTGGTGACGCGACGGCGAGGAGGGGGACTCGATCAGCTCCAGTGGCCGGAACGGGGAGGAAAGGGGGAGGAGGTAGCGCGCGATCCAGGGAAAGGAGAAGAACGGAAAAGAAAAGAAAAGAAAAAAAAAAAAAGAGAAGGTGATTCTGGGAAAAAAAAAAAAAAAAAAGAGAAGGTGATTCTGGGTTCATGGGCCCATTCGGTCGATTCGAATCGGTTTGATCCAAATCAATTCAGTTTGGCCCGACTTTTGCTTTGGTTTAATGGGTTTCGCCTGGTGTTACAGATCCGTTTGTGAATTCTTTTTATTATTTAATTAGGTTCCTACTAACATTTCTCTTCAATTCACTTGATATTAATATTAAATAATCAAATATTAGATTTTTAAGATAATAAAATTCATGTAGTATTAATATTAATAATCATAATATTAGATTTTTAAGATAATTAATTCATGTAGTAACCACACTCACATTTACATATTTAAAATACATTAATAGTTAGGACTCCATATTCATTCTTAAAAATTTTTAAAGGTTCTCAACCCGGTAATTCCGATAATGTGTTTTGGGCTTGAGCCCAACTTTGTAAACTTGAGCTCGAATCAAACTAAACGGCATTTGCAGCCCAAGCAGTCATAATTTCTGATTTTTGATTTAAAAATTTCATAAATTTTGAAAATAAAAATTCGGGGTGTTTCAGTATCTTTTGTTTCCTATATATGTACTGCATAAAGCTAATAACAAAAAATCCTTTTCTGTGCAAAACAATACTTTCTTTAGAGTGTTTTTTCAATAAAATCACAATAAAATTAACACCAATGACCTAATTTTGTACTTAATTTTATTTAGGTCACATTAATTTAATTTGTCACTTTTTAATCGCTCAACTTTAATTTTTATTTTAATGAGAGGTCACTTATCATAATAGGGTAATTAGAATAGTAATATGACACTAAAAATTACATATATCACAAAAAAAAATCATGATTATGAATGAATATAGAAAAGAAAAGGAAAAAACGCTAGAAAATATAAGAGAGTGAAATTTTTTTTCTCTTTTATTTTTTTAAAAGAAACTTTTTATTTAAATGACGTCATTTGTTAAATAAATTAAAAGGCAGATTCCAAATTAATATATTAAGAGAAAATCTGAAATTTTTAATTTATTTTTATTACCATATTATTATTTCTGATGACAATATTTCAATGAGTGACCTTCCATTGAAACAAATATCAAAGTTAAAAAAAAATGAAAAATTAAAGTTATAAAATCAAGTGTGAAATCAAGTCTTTTTTTTTCTCTCTTTTCTTTCTAGTCTTCTAATTCTAGTTTTAATTTGGGACTGTCACTGTTTATCAGCAAGAGCCATTACCTTCTACTCTTTCTTTCGCTTCACCTCCTTTCACTTTTAATCTTCCTTTGCTTTTAATCTTTTATTTACTTTATTAACTCAAATATGTTTTCCTATAACTTATTTGTTTTTTATATTATTATTGTTGCGTTGTCTCCATATTTGGAATTTTTTTTCCTTCTTTGTGAGTGTTTATTACTAAATAAAAATATGATATTGACTTTATTTGGTTAGATATTTTAGGTCTTGATTTATAGGTGTGGATCTTTGATTAGTGAAGCCTGGTAAGGCGGCTTATTCCTCCATTGATGCTATTGATGCATAGTGGTGAAAATTCATTTGTATTCATATTTTGTAAATTCTTGAAAAAACAATCCAGGTATAGAAGATGCAGAGAAATTATTATTTTCTCGTTCAAATCAATTAACGGACTTGTTGCTGCTGTGAAAATTTATATCTTTTATCAAAATCAACTTGAAATGGAAAGATTTAATATTATATTTTTTTTTAATCTTAGTTTTATTATTCAAAAGAAAATAAATTCTTTCTTTTTATTAAAGATCAACGAATACTATTAGCTATTAATAATAAAGTTCTATATTTGATCTATCATAAGTATTTATAATTTTTAATATTATTTTAATAAATTACATTTTAAAAAAATTCGAATAGGTGACCATCAGTATAATTTATCCGGATGACCGGGAATTATAGATTGATCTCTAACTATTATCCCTCTATTATCCTTCACTTGCAGCGTGTTTGGAATTTAAAGAGGATAAACGGGAAGGAAAGAAAATATGAGAAAAAAATAACAATTGAAAGTTACTTTACCAGTTTACCTTATTTGGAGAGACGAGAGAAAATGAAAGTATAAGGAAATTTTGTATCAAATTTCACCCGGGCCCACCACTTTTTAATCTCTTCAAAACGGAGAGATTTTGGCTATTTTAAGGAGGATCTGACTATTTTGCATGAAATTACAAATTGCCCCTAATAGTCATGATATCTTTATTGCTTTTCTTTATGCTTCAACCCACTTTTGATAAATTATAATACAAAATAATTTATATGTATTTACAATGCTTATGTATATTTTAATTTTAATTTCCTCCCCTTCGAATAATATTCACCAAATTGGTGATAACTTTGTGGTGAAGAGGACGTGAGCTGTAGGTCTCTCAGTCTCCACATCTTCTACAAGATGTGGAAAGACTAATCAAGTCACACCTGATTGATTGTAAATTTTCCTTCTTTTGTTACACAACTGCTCTCTTGAATTATTATTATTTTCATTCTTTGATTAAGGGTAAAATTGTAAATTTATAGCAATAATATTTTCTTTGCTCATCTTATTTTATTTCTTCATTTTATTTTTCTTCCAATCCAAATATACGGTGGAAAATAAATAATACAATAATTTCTTATTTTCTCTACTCTCTTATTTTCTTTCTTCTCTTTCCCAAACATAGTGTTAGCCTCCCACGTTGCAAAAATCCCAATAACACAATGAACATTTCTCCCATGCATGAAATCAAAGAGCTGTCGAGCTTCATCAACAAAACCACTTTTCGAGTATTGAGTGAGCAACGGTCCAATAAACAATACGGCTATGAGAACTTGCTGTTAGGCATTTTGTTGAGCAGGTTATGTGCAGCATATAGTCTAACAGTGATAGAGATCGGAGAAATTGATAGTCGTTGAATGTAAATTTTGGGAAATGTTTTTTGGAAACTGTAACTCGTGAACTGAGAAAACATACGAACTTCTTTGAGTAAAATTCTTAGAAGAGACTTCAAGTGCTCTGAAACAAAAGGCGGGCATTAACAGTTTTTCAAAAGGCGAGCGGCACACATGTAAAATGGTTGCTGTTAACTTTCACCGTCACATACGTGTGAGCGTGTTTTTGGGTTAAAAAAAAAAAAAAAAAAAAAAAAAAAAAAAGAGAGATAGAGAATAAAAGAAAATTTAGGAATTTCCTTTTCTTCGTCTTTCTGTTTCCTCTTCTGGAACAAAAAAAAAAAAAAAAAAAAAGAGAGATAGAGAATAAAAAAAATTTAGGCAATTTCCTTTCTTCGTCTTCTGTTTCCTCTCTGGAACTCTAAGCAAACCAACAATGGAGTTCCTGGATGAGGACGATAGACCCAGGTTCGTCTTCCAATCTCGGCCAATCCCATCTTCATTTGCAGATCAACAACCTCGACAAAAACCGTTAAATAAACCTCTTTTCTTCATTACAATTGCCTTCTCTTCCCTTTTATTGATTTTCTCTATTTTTTATCTCCAAGCGGAACCCTTTAAATCTCTCCTCTTTTGGGTCTCTGTTTCCTTCTTTATTGGCCCTTTCGCACCATCTAACGTCACAGGTGGTGACATTTCAGTCGGCCAAGGTCCAATCGTCGAGTTCGAGCCTCTTGATGAAGAACCCGAGATTTCATCTAAAAAGAAAGCCCCCAAGAAAAGATCCAAACCAATTAGATCTGATGAAACTGTTATGAGTCCAATTCATGGTATAGAAATAGCAAATGGATCGTCAATTACAGAGAAAAAGCGTGAAGCTTTGGGGAAGAGTACAAATGGGTTGGTGGCAAATGAGGAAGAGAAGGACTGGACTGAAGAGGACTTAGAGATATTGAAGAAACAAATGATGAAGAATCCTGTTGGAAAGCCAAGAAGGTGGGAAGTGATTGCAGAGGCATTTAATGGGAGGCATAGAGTAGAGAGTGTAATAAAGATGGCAAAAGAAATGGGAGAAAGGAAAGTAGATGGTAATGATTCATATGCGAAGTTTTTAAAGAATAGGAAACCATTGGATACAAGAGTTCAGGCCGAGATTGGTGGAGAAGAGAGTGGTGAAGCAAAGAAGGATAGTGAGGATGGTGGCGGTGGAGTGGGGTGGAGTGCAGGAGAGGATATTGCTTTGTTAAATGCCTTGAAAGCGTTTCCTAAGGATGTGGCAATGAGGTGGGAGAAGATTGCAGCTGCAGTTCCTGGGAAATCAATGGCCGCTTGTAGGAAAAGAGTTGCTGAATTGAAAAGGGATTTTCGGAGTTCGAAAGCTGGTGCTGAGAGTTAAACTCAAAATTCAGCTGCTGAGTGTTGAACATCCAAAACTTTCATTTGAGGCAGCATTGGGGAGGAAATAGGTGACTCATATCAGTGTTATTCTTGTTCTTCCCCATGATTTTTGACATGAGAAAAGTTGCTGACAGTACTACTTGATTTCGTTTTATACATGACATTCTCTAAATTTGTAGAGACCAGTTATAATAAAAATGAATGTTTATTTGGTTATTGCAGTGGCTTGGTTGATGAAAGTGGTGTGGTTGTGTTATCTTTTATGCTTGTTGATTATTTTCTGGTTTATTGGTTGATGGAAGTTCAGCATCTAATTATTTTTTATGATTAATTTTTTATATATATTGAGGATATTAAAACCTCTAACCAAAAAGCTGAATGAAAATCCCTGTGAACATCATTAATGCAACAAAAAGTCTTTTATTTTCGATTAACTAGTTTCCATTTTCAAACAATGAAAAAGCTTTTAGATTGGGGCACAAGATTTGAATGTTACATCATACTTCTAAGGTGCCATTGTTCTTTTTCGTTTATAAGATTAAAATGTGATTTACTGCTGTGCTATTTTCCATGGTGTCATGCATATTGTATTGTATTTTGCTTGTGCAATACATGGAAGATTTGTATTCTATAAATTCTGGAAGAGAAAGTATTCAAATGGTCTTCTATTGATTTCCAGAGGTACAAAATGATCCTTAGTTGAATTAATGTGTGGTGCGCCCATGTCTCTCTGTGTCTGTGTGTTTTAGCGAGAGAGAGAGAAGGGCTTAGTATCTTGTCAAGTGAAGAGATGGGGTTATTGAGAAGGATGATCTCAGCAATTCTTTACTGTAAATTGAAATTTGGATTTTATATTGACATGTATGGTTAGCAATTGCAAGCCTTGTCAAGTGGAATTTGAAAATTCTTCCAAAGCCCTTTGGAAGATCGAAATTTCAAAAATTTGTTGCACCTTGGAAGGTATTATACAGTTTATGCCCGAGGAAATACTGTCAACTCAGATTTTTACTCTCTCTCTCTTCTTCCTCCCTCCCTCCCTCCCCCTTCTCCCTTCCCCACCCCATACTTGTCACTCAGATTTTTACTCTCTCCTCTCTCTTCCTGCCCTATCCCCCCTCCCTCCCCCTTCTCCCTTCCCCACCCCACCCCCCCCCCCCACCACCCCCCCCCCCCCCCCCCCCACCCCCGCGGGTGTTAAACAAAATTGCTTTAGCTGGCCAGGTTTGCAAAACATTCTGTTTTTTCAAAATCCTAGCAAGTTGTTTTCTGCTATGAAATATTTGTCATCTTCCTACCTAGAAATTAGGGACACGAAACATCAAAACATGTATAAATACCTTTGTTGAACTGCTGTTTCTTTTATTAATGGCTTTCTGCCATTAGATAAATATTATATCTTCTTCTTCAACATTTTAATATGACGAGCAAGAATATTTTTGGGCTTCCTTTTTCTTGCCAGGGACTGTTGTTAAACTACTGACCTGATCAAGTGATTACTTTGGTGGATTTAATTGAATTAAAATTTTTGGCCCCCGCGGGTGTTGAACAAAATTGCTTAGCTGCCAGTTTGCAAAGCATTCTGTTTTTCAAAATCCTAGCAAGTTGTTTTCTGCTATGAAATATGTCATCTACCTAGAAATTAGGGACACGAAACATCAAAACATGTATAAATACCTTTGTTGAACTGCTGTTTCTTTTATTAATGGCTTCTGCCATTAGATAAATATTATTATCTTCTTCTTCAACATTTTAATATGAGAGCAGAATATTTTTGGCTTCCTTTTCTGCCAGACTGTTGTTAACTACTGACCTGATCAAGTTGATACTTTGGTGGATTTAATTGAATTTAAAATTTTTGGTATCATGATGCAAGTGGGATTGTATTGTTGATTTAGACAGCTAATGTAAGGCCTTGTCCAAGCATCACCCGGGATGGTTAAAAGTATCTGAATGCTCATTTGAATTTGATCTCACACACGAAGTGGTTGTATCCTTATGAATTGGACTTTGATTGAAAAGAGTCACCACCTTAATTTTATTCTGGTTTGCACTACATTGCTTGCTATGGTCGGAGGTTTCTCTTTGGGAATGTTGTAGACCTCTTCAGAATCCTTCCTGACTTATTACAGGACAAGGGATAGTGAAGTTAGTTAGCTATGAATTTCCTAGTTTCTGAGAGAATAGGAACAATTAGGCTTGGTTGTGATCAAATTTGGTTTAGTTTTGGTCCATCACTAAAACATTTTATTTTGGGAAATGGATTGAGAAAACAAGCAAAACTTTTTATAGTTTTTCCTTGTTTTGACCATCTCTTTATGTTTTTACTTCCTGTAATTTGAAGAACATGGAATTGTCACCTCTTCCTGCTGCATGTGAGAAGAGACTTTTTTAGGTGTTAAGGGATTTTGGTTCAGCAAATCTGCTCTTATATATTGCCCAGTAGAGAGGGATGTGAGGGCCTGTTTTGTCTCTTTCTGGCTTTAGCAAGGTCTATTTTTGAACAGAGGAGTGGCTACAATGCCCTGGAGTTGCCTAGTAGAAGGGGATATGAGGGCCTGGAGTAGGTGTATGAGATAAAAAGGAAGAGCTCTGAAGACTCATGAATACATTGTTAGCATTGAAGATTTTTATGTTGATTGTGAAATAAAACTGAAAATACCTTATAAATTTTCATGATAAATCAAACAGTGAAATAAAGTAATAAAAACCCAAGTCAATTGAGAAGATGTTTGGTAAAAGTAAATACCAGTTACAATTCTCTTGTCTGGGAAGAGACCAAAATGAGAACATATTAAATTCCCTCAATTTGAATAGAGAGTAAAGAAAATAAAGGATCCAAACATGACAGGGAAAATAAAGGGAGGATTCCTCCATTATTTTCGCTATTTTTTTATGGTACATTAGTGATATGATGTAGGATAATTAATTGACTAAACAAATAAATTACACGTAGGCACCCTACAGTTTGCAAGATCCTGTGGATGGAAGCAGTACGGTTATTTTAGCGTACCCATCCTGCTCCGATCTGTTTAAATAAGGTGGGTAGTTATAAATAAATTTGGGACAGATACGGATAGTGAAATTATTACCCGTAATGGATACGGGTAGGGTACGGGTATAGATCTTTAGATACCCGCTACCCGCTATTAGGTACCCATGGATATCCTATCCACTATTAATAAAAATTGTATTTTAAATAAGTTTGAATTTGGATAGTAAAATTCACGGTATTACCCGTATAAAGGTATTTTAAACGGATTTTGAACGGGTACGGATGATAAATTTTTTAAATGAATATGGATACTGATAGCTTAAATTGCAGATACCCGCCCAGCTTCCATTCCCGATCCTATTATGCCTTGAAAGTTATAAATTTTAATAATATTAATAAGCATTTAATCAATATAATTTTAGATATTGAAATATTCAATAGAATGATTTTATAAATTAAATTATTTAATAAATAATTTTATAAATTGAAATGTTTAATACATTAACTCTTTACATTGAAATATGTATAAGCCGAATTGAGTTCAAAGCATAAGTACGTATATATATTAATTCATGCCATTTAGGAAATTTATACAAGAGCATATATTTGGGCGTCTCAAAACTTGCTGTGGCTCTTTCTGAAGTACAACTCTCGGCATCAATATATAATCGGCAAATGGATCGTAAATTCTCAGCATACAAAAACATGCCTATTTTCTCATTGCAAATTTGACTAGTCTCCGAGACCATAAAGTGTACTAATCAAATCTGTAAAACTGTTATTGAAAGTATGGTGACAAATTACTGGAACACAGCGTTAGTATCTGCAATTTTACGATCTCAAAAGACCAAAAAACCAAAAGTATGTGGTAAATGACCTCAAATATCCAGGATGATCAATGATATAAACCTTCTGATTTGCTTTCGTGGCAATGTAGGTCATCATGTTGGAGTGAATAAAAACAAATCCTATCTGGAGCCATAAAATCCTAGGTACTGATCCACAAGCTTTGTTACAGACCCTGCAAGGCTGTCTGCTTCTTCTTGTGTTGATGCCTCAGCATATACACGTATAAAATCCTCCGTACCAGATGGTCGTATGAAACATCGGCCATGGGAGTATTTTGCTGAATGAGATAGTAAAAATACCTAGTTCAGTCCCTCAAAATGGTAACCAATAATTGTTGCTTATAATTATAAAGTTTCCCGTGTACATGCACATACACTTCGAGGAACTAAAGACAACTAACCATTTATTTTTATTAACCTCAATGTTTGGCATGAATGAATTTAAAGTATAAACTTCGTTTAAAAATAATAGAATTTGATTTAGTTATATTGAATTCTATAAAACTCATAAAATTGAATTTATGAGATTGAAATCAATGTTTCCATTTATACCAAACAAAAAAACATGAAAATTTCAAATGAATCCCACCAAAATTTTATGGAACTCATTTAAACCAAACAATGATTAACAGTAATATTATATGCTTCTATGTATGTTTGCTTATTTCAGACCTAGACAGTTGAGATGGCCAATGAAAAGAAGATGTAAGAAAGGAATTCATGTGAAAATCCTGACAAACAATATGCCAGCTCAATAATATTAGGGCTCCGAATACATTACCAACTTGTGCATTAATGGCATCTTGAATGCCGAGGGGTTTCACAACCACGGTCTCTGCATTTGTTGTGACAACAGCAGTTCTGTCAACAACTCTGACCTGACAATGAAAGGGAAGCATTCCCAATTGAGAGGAACAAGAATGTGGACCATAATGATAACCCAAATGAAGCTAATGGATCTTAGCTACTCTATCTGGATCCTCCATTAGCATTAAAAAATTTGCAGGATACAACATTAAAGAAACAACAATTCAGAAAGTCATCCTCCTAAAAATTAAAAAAAAAAAAAAAGGCAATGGCAGTAGGAAACATACCTTGATCTGTCTGCTTGGTAAATCTTGATAAAGTTCAGCCCACTTATGTATTGACCAGCCCATGTGTCGTAAAATGGCTTCCACCAATAGCAAACCACTTAAAGCATCCCCAACAGCTTGGTTGATCAGCCTACTAACAGCTAGCAGTCTCAAAGCAGCTTTATGCTGTTCTGAATCTGGTCAACCGAATATCTCAAAAAATTTCAAACTTAAGACTTTGCAAATAAGTAATACTAATACAAGATTCTATAAGAACTAACCTTTGTTTTTGGAAGACAGCTCATTACACCTTTCCTCCAACCAAGATAAGAAGCTTTCTGAGAACAGGATGGTACCATGGCCATTGGCCTCAAAATAGATTCCAATATCATACTGAGCAGCTTTCTCATGTAAGTATTTTACTCCTGTTGGGGTAAAGACCACTTCTAAGCCCAATTGTTTGAGGTAATATGTCGATGCTCCATTTGCATAAGCTGTTTGTATAACACCGACACGAGCTTGATAATCGTCACTGATCTTCTCCTCTCCCTCTGTGTTAAGAACAGCCAACTGCTCCTTGATGAATACAGCAAACAAAGATAGTATCTTGTCCCCATCAACAAGATCAATTGTGCTGCTATCACTTGATGGCACAGAGAAATAAACAAGTCGATCAGCATCTCCATCCAAACTCGCACACCTGAAAAACTAGAAACATGCACACAGTTAGCTCCAGTCAACAACATGGTTTATGTGGAAGATAAACTGTCAGCTATGAAATTTCCTAGTTCTTATATGTATTGAATATGATACTCCTGCAAGTTAAGAGTCAAAGCCATCCTACATCAACAACCATGGCAGTTGTTCGATCACTTGTAGTGACGATATTATCCTAGTTGGAAACACAGGCGTGATCAACAAAAATAAATCTCCTGCTTAATTATTCAGACGACCACAGTGTTAAGCAGTTAGATATGCTGATACCAAACTCAAATAATGACTATTCCATGCAACTTATGCCCATTTCGAGAATAAAACTATTTTCAATGTATCTCGAGAAGCAAAAAAATGAATTATTGTCTGATTATGTTCAGCTTTTTTTCTCTCATCCAACACAGTGAAAAAGCAAGCATGCCAGCAACCAGAGAAAGCAAAACATAAGAATGACCATGGCATTTTGCATGTTTGACAACAGGGATTATTTAATTCAAACAATGAGATGATCGACCTTATCCCAACATCTTCGGGACCAAATTCTTGTGGATAAAACTTTTCTTTCTGAACAAAATCAGCACCAACTCCTTCATTGAGGACACCTCCTTTCCCAGTATTGCGAACCTCAATAAGCAAACCATTCAACTTCTTCATTAAAACTTGAATTTTTTCTGCACCAACACCGTTAGCCCCATCCACCACCAATCTGTCATCCACTTCATTGATCTTGTGTCCATTTGGAATCAAATCAGTCAAGCACCTAATAAAGTATAAAAGGACCTCAAGTGAAGACATGAAGTCAAAAGCAATCACTTCTAGCCAGGACAATCATCTATATTTCAAACAAACCTGAATGAGCTAGAAAGCTGCTCGTAATAATCATCTTCAGTAGCTTTCATCCCCTTATTTCTTGCACGCACCATCCAGTGTAGCTGTGGAGTTGTTAAAATTCCCATGTCAAGAGCAAGAGCTCCAACAATTGAATTAACTCCCTTTGGTCAAAGATAAAGCACAAGTCAAGACTACTTCTCAAAGAGATGAATTAAAGGGTGTAACTTTAAGATCACACAGCTTCAACCTTGACAAAACAAATAAAATAAAATAAAATAAGGCACACACACCCATACAGAGAAGTTCAAAATAGTTTGAGGGACAGAATACTTGTTTAGCAGCTTCAATGAGAAATAGGCCACTAGGCCTTGTGTCTCTTCCCAGCAAAACCTCTGCTGACCTCGCTCCATCAAAAAGTATGTTTTCCTTCTTTACAAATTCATCTATCAACTGGAGAAAGTTGAAACAGAACACTTGGGCTCAATTTATAAAATGTAAGCACTGAAGAAAAGGTAAAAAAATCAATAGAATAGTTACAACAACATAGAGAGACTAAGATACCACATCTCCTAAACCCACATGTTAAGTCAACTAAATGAAAATTAATAAATTTTTAAGCATGTGCTGCTACAGTGCTACTGGTCCCAATCAAGTAAGAATTTGTTAAAATGGAGTTTCGTCTTCATAGTTTATGGTCAAGATAAAACGTATATTACCAAGATAGCCTACTTTAATTTTAGCATGCCTTCTGATCTGAATCCAATTAGCATCTCACAGTAGTTTATCTGTGGATCTTTAATGGACATACCATACCATATCAACAACCTTAAGCATGAGGACAGATTACTGACCTGAACAAGGTTTATAGGAGTGGCAGCATTAGCAATTGCATCAGCAAAGGGTTCCCAGTCTTGAATGAGCATACCACCGCTCGGATCAGCAACTTTGACTCCATTATCACTGACTTTGTTGTGTGATGCAGTGATCATCAAGCCAATCACTGATTGGGTCTTTAAAGATCTAAGAGCTGCTAAAATCCCGACTCTAAATACTGTTGATTGGAGGATTGATGCATCCGCCCTGAACCCAGCTGTCCCATATGATAGCCTTACTCCTGTAGTCATCAAATAATGATGAATAAAAACATCTTTCTAGATTGAAAATTTTGAAAAGGATAAATTTAAGGGAAATTAAATGAACTTGGGACCTTGAGGAAGTGGGAAGTTAGTCGAGGAGTAGAGAATGAAAGATTTTTGACGATCATTCATGGCACTGTTCTTAAGAGAGATGGTCTCTGTAAAATCTTTAGAGCAATCAAAAACAAAAAGCAAAATATTAGATAATGTAAACCCACAGTAAATGGAAAAGGGAGGTAAACTATATTCTATTTCATTTAGTTATAAAAAATTAGAAATCATGATAAAAATTTTTCAAAAACTATCATTTCTTCAATTGTAATAATATTGGTTTATAATATATATTTCATTAGTAGAGTTAAAAATTATAATCTATCATTTGAAAAACATATTGCTTTTTATGAAAAAACAAAACAATAACATTAACCGAAAAACCAACAAATTTTCAAAAATGTTGTTAAAAATTTACAAGTAGCCAAGTTAAATATTCAAACAAAGTAGTTTGGAAAAGTTCTAGTAAAATTAGGAGGGAAATTACCTCAATCTTTTGGAACTTCTAGGTAGAATTCTTCTTATAGGTTATCCTCTGCAAAGAAAGTTGAGACAGTGCCACTTGATATCATGTACAGTAGAAACTAAGTCTCAAAGATGATTGAAACATTTGTAGCTAGCTATTCCTACTAAGCAGAGTGATGATGAATCTACAGAATTACAATTGGATAAATACTCGGTTTGATCCTTGAACTTCCATTAGATGTTCAAATTTGATCCCAACTTAAATTTTGAATCAATTGAGGAAATAAATTTTGACTTTATGATAACTTTTTACCCCCATTTTTTTATAATAAAATAATAAAATTTTAAATTTTAAAATTATTAAAATAATAAAAATATTTAAAATTCAAAAAATAAAGAAAAAGAAAAATCCAATTATGTTGTCGAAGATGGAGAAGAAAAATGAACCTTTCTCAATTTTCATATTTTTTATTTCCATAATTTATTTGTAAATATTTTTTATTACTTTAAAAGTAGAAACATCACTATTCCCAAATTTTTGCCAAAAATGAGGTAAATTGATTGTGAACTCAAAATTTATGTCCCAAATTGATCCAAAAGTTAATTTCAGATCGAATCAAATATCGTGAAATTTCAAGAGTCGAATTGAGCATTTATCCATTATCATCTGATATCCTCTTCTATGTCAACAGCAAGGCAACAAATTCTGAAATTAAACCAGCAATTATTCAGAATTGAAAGTTAGAACTGCTGGAGTGGTAAGAATCCAATAACTTAACACGTTTATAAAAACAATCTGTTTATTAAATGGATTAACAATACAGCAGATATGGACTACATACATTCTATAGCATCACATGCTTTGCACCAGACCCCAGAAAAATGAAATCAACAACTACACACACAGAGTAACAGCTACAGAAGAAATGAAATACTGAAAAAAACCCAAAATCAAAATGTAAAACAAGTAATAGAAACAGTAGCAGCAGAATCAAGAAACAGCAAGTTTCGGTTTCACAATCGTATCTAATATATATACCCATGATACTTAACTCTTCCCTAACAAATCAGAGACAAACGAACCAAACACAGAATGTATAAATTAAGAGAAATGATTTAAGAAACGACAAGACCTGAAAAATCGCTAGATCATATTGCGACAAACAATAAAATAAAGCAATTAGAGAAAATCTAATTGGAAATTTGAATCTAACTGAACACTTACCCACATTTTGGGCAAAATAAATTTCTTCCAGAGGAAAATAAAAGAGTTGAAATCGAAAAAAAGCAACTGAACATAAATGAAGTTTCCTACAATTCCATTCTTTAGGCAATCATCAAAAAATCAAAGGAAGAAAATTAGAGAAGGCTTGCTTTACTGACCAATGAAATCAAGCTGACAGAGAGCGAACGCCTCTTGCTGATGTTTTGGCTGTCGAAACCAGTGAAATCAAATTGAAATTGTTAAACGAGAAACGGGAAAATATAAATACGTCCCTAAATTTAAAATTATAGGGTAATTGAGATATATACGTACTCGCGTGTTCAATAAATGACTTATTTGCTACTTTCCTTATAAATATTTGTGACATTTAAAAAAAATATTATTATAAAAATATTTCTGAAAAATACCAATCTGTCAACAAAAGCATTAACATGAAACAGACAACAAAAGCATTGGAAAAAAATATTAAATCAGTGAAGTAATTAACATCAAATCCATGAACAAAAAATACAAAAGTCCAAACAAATAAAAAATAAATTAGACTAAAAAAACCTAATTCAAAGCTGCATTTTCAGAAATAGAGAGGTATGATTTGGGAAAAGCCACATGTCTTGTTCTCGAAGCCTAACTGCATAAACCCGGGACAAGTTTTGCAGCAATTAGAAATACCAACAAAATGAACGAATAAAGCCAATTTGGCTCTCAACTTATTTATTTAAAATGATTAAAAAGGTCGGATTTGACATTTTAAATTACTTTAGTCCCTGATTTTCACTTTACTTATAATGTGAGAATCTTTGTATAAAAGTTTATTAAAATTATAGTTAGAATCGAGATGTATAATTTATTTAAATATGGAATAAAGAATAATGATATATGAAGTATATTATGTTATTCTTTACCATATATTTTTCATGTTCAACATATTAAAATTATATTGTATGTTTTGTAAATTTACTTTGTTAGAATAAATGATACTTTATGGATATTAAACATTTATTTAGAAGAGTTGGAAAAAGTTTGATATGGGTATTTTGTTAAAATTGAATCAATTCATTCGTAAAAAAATCAAAATAAAATCAAGATTTAAATTGGTGTAAAAGATCATATTTTAATCATTTCGAACAAATTTAAGTGCTAAATTGACTTAAAAGTCAAATTTGACATTTTTTATCACAACGAACGCGTTTAGAGGCCTCATTGACCTTTGTTCCGTGAGAGGAATGGAAATCTCTCTTACTTCTTTCATGTATTTTCTGTCCGTTTCATTAATGAAAGGCTTATAAAAGTATTACTGAGCAAGAAATATAGGTTAATTTTTATTTTAGTCCTAGATTTAGGGACCAAGGGTACTCATTATTATACATAAACTTCAGTAAAAATGCATATGACCGATTTAACCCATTTCTGTTTGCCAAAAAGCTATTTAGGTACCACTAAGTTTATTTTCTTATAATTTAATTAGGTAAAGGCTCGTTCATCGTGTGGACTGTTTAGTTACTATAGATTATATTTTATAGTTTGTATTTTATGATATGTAAATTATAATTACTATACATATATTATTTCATATATATATATTTTAATATCCTTTCCTTAAAGCCCAAAAATAAATTTATTAGGATATGAAAGAAAAACGAAGATCATAGCATGAAAGGTAAATACAAATAAAATATATATAATTTCATATCTAATTCATAAACAAATAAAAACTATAGAAATCAAGAATTTAGTCATATCATAATCGTTGTTACGTAGTAGCTAAAGAATAAAGACCTACAAAATTATCAAAATATGAAATCTAAACATATGTTACATGAAAATTTGCAAAAAGGAGAAGAAAATTTGATCAAGCATAAAAATATAAAAAATAAAAAGAAAAAAATATAAAAGAGCTAACATTAGCTCGAGATGAAAAAGAAGAGACAATAGTATATTCGAATTTGAAATTCTGCTTTAGCCGAACTAAGCTTCTAATTAGAATTTGAAAATATTTGAAACATTATTATTAATGACAATAATAATAATAAGATAATAATAATAAGAGATAAAATATATTTTAGAAATTTTAAAAGTTAGAAAAAAAAACTCAAAAATTTATAAAAAAAATAATAAGAGATAACCAATATTTTTAAAATTTCAAAAATTAGAAAAAAACTCAAAAATTTATATATATAAAAAAGAAAACAATAAATGCTCAAAGAAGACAAATAAATTGATCCTGCAAATTAAAATAAAAGAAGGTCCTATTATTTTGATTAACTTAGAAATACCTTAAGTGGATCCTGAGTCAAATTTCACCAACACTTCCTCAAACATAAGTTTGGTGCTGCTCTTAATTAGATGCAGACTATCCCTACATTTTGAAAAGAACAATTTAATGAAATTTGCAAAAAGGGAGAAGAAAATTTTGATCAAGCATAAAAATAAAAAACATTAAAAGGAAAAAAATATAAAAAGGAGCTAACATTAAGCTCGAGATGAAAAAGAAAGAGACAATTAGTATAATTCGAATTTGAAAATTCTGCTTTAGCCGAACTAAGCGTTCTAAAATTAGAATTTTGAAAATAATTTTGAAACATTATTATTAAGTGACAATAATATAATATAAGTAATAATAATAAGAGATTGTAAAATATATTTTAGAAATTTTAAAAGTTAGAAAAAAAAAAACTCAAAAATTTATAAAAAAAATAATTAAGAGATAACCAATATTTTTAAAATGGTTCAAAAATTAGAAATTAGAAAAAAACTCAAAAATTTATATATAAAAAAAAAAACAATGAATGCTCAGAGAAGATAAATAAATTGATCCTACAAATTAAAATAAAAGAAGGTCCTATTAGGCAATGATTTTGATTAACTTAGAAATACTTTGAGTGGATCCTGAGTTAATTTCACCAACACTTCCTCAAACATAAGTTTGGTGCTGCTCTTAATTAGATGCAGACTATCCCTACATTTTGAAAAGAACAATTTAATTTATTAAAAAAAATTAACAAATGCAGATAATTGAAAAAAAAGAATATATTGATTTACTTGGTCTGAATAACTATTCATAGAATAGAAAATAATTGGATGTCAAATAAATTCATCGAACAATTGGCAATTAACTTTTTTTCTTTTTCCATATATTCCTCTAATTCAGAAATCTAAGAAAAGGTAACATATATAACATAAATAAGTTGTACCTCTAACATATATAACATAAATAAGTTGTACCTCACCAATGATGATTTCGAATAACAAATTTAATCCATTCCATTGAGCAAGCATGTGGTTCCTATGATGTAGGAAGGAGGCAACCATAAATCAATCCAACTGGACAGCAAAATAGAAATAGGAATCAGAGAGTTGAACACCGGAAAGCAAAATAAAAATAGAATTAGAGAGTTGAATACTTTATACGTTTCAGGTTCGGTACAAATATATATAAATAGATATTAGTATTTTGTAGATAAAAAAATATTTAAAAATTTCAAAGTTGTATTTATTTGTTTAGAGAAAATAATTTTTAAAAATACATATATCCAAAGGATAAGGGAATTCGTCAGCAGCTAACAAGCACAAATATTAAAATATAGAAAATAAAGAGAAAAATGAAAAAAAAAATTTCTAAAAGCAATAAAAATAGGATGTCAAAAAAATAGAGCGCCACATCAGCATTTTTAAAATATTTTTTAAAATATATATATATATATATATAGTAGTAGCTATAAAACAACCACGCACATCAAAACTAATTGAAATTCTCTTGGTAATTGGGCATATATATATATATACACACACGCACACAAAACACTAATTGAATCTCTGGTATTGGGCAAGTGAACCTGTTTACACAACAATTGTTACTGTAGTGGAGGATCTAGTTCCACAACAATTGTAATATCGAGAACAATCACAAATAAAAATGGAGAGATGCAAGGCTAAGGATCTATTAGAAAAGATATGGTCTTTCTCTAATATTATAGACACTTACGTTATGTGAAAAAAGCAAACAAAACTACACATTGCATTGCTTTGCTTAGGTAACTCTAAAATAGCAAACAAACTACACATTTCCATTTTCTATTTCATATAATTATAAAATTACATTTATGTTATATTCAAATTACAACCTACTTCCAAATAAATCGAAGTTAAATAATTAAAATTCATTAATCAAATTCTTACATTACCTCTCCAAAATTGAGTTAGCTACTCAATTTACTACTCTCGTACTGTATTTTATCTGCATTTGCAACTTCTGCTTGCATCCTTCAGAGTGATAATAAGATGATGATTTGATTGGGCCATTTATATGTGATCTTCACATCACTAATTGTTTCTAAACCTTAAACAAACTTATGAACCCTATTTTTTCCAGAACATTGGCTTCTTCTATCCTTCAAATCAGTCCAGCGTTCGACTGTTTCTTAGCTAGGGATTGTCTTTGATTTCCTCTCTCCTAATTACTCTATCTTCCCTTATTCAAATTAAAAGCAATACTTTTATTATTCAAATTTCAATTATGATTTTTCGGTTCCCTTTATTTACCCCTACCATCTCCAATAGTTACACAAATCTATATAATATATAAAGGAAAAATAATTATTTCGTCATGAAGGTTTTACAAAATTAATTAACTCATTCTTTCGTTTTTGTGTATTAGGTATTTAATCCTTAAAGTTTAATTCTGTCTCATTATATAATCCTTCCATTCAAAATTAATTATTTTTTCCGTTAAATTATATTAAAAAGTAAGAGAGAGGAAAGATAAATTTTTTAAAATGACAAAATGATACCCTTACAGCTACAAATATAAAAAGACCACAAATGGCAAGTCATCGGAGCCACCGCCATAACCACCTCTACCTTCACACTCTCCCTTATCCTTTAGAAACCAATCCAGATTAACAAATTCAGGCTTTAATTACACATAAATCAAATAATATTCAATATGAAACTCCATCTGAAACCTAATAAATTAAACAAAAAAAATCCACTTCCTCTCCACTGAACCCTGCAATAAAAGATAGTTGATTTTAGCCGCATTTGTTAGATTATTTAATAATTTATACGTGGCCCATGTGATTAAAAGGCTAATTCTAATTAAGGTGGCACAAGATGATAGTTATCGGGCCTAATGGATAAGAGCCAGTTAGGGTTTTAATATCCTTCCTCTGCCTTATAAAAGATAAAGAAATCAACAGATTAGGATTAACACAGAAACAAGAGAGTGTGACGGCTACGTCAACCACATACGGAGATAGAGAGGCTCATAAAATAACCTCCTGCAGCTGTTGATTATTCTCTGACCAAGAGCACTTTCAGACAAAAGGACAGATTGAAGAAACGTAGATCTGCTGTTACGGAGAGAATCGAATTGCCACGACGAGGTAACCCATAACATAAATCTGCCGTTATAGATAAAGGTACGCTTCCGATTATTGTATATTCTTGTCAAATAAATTTTATGAACAATAGATCTGGACTATATTAAAGATTATTCAACAACATTCGCTTGCTGTCTTCTTCACCCCCTACCCCCAACTTCACCGATCAATGAACAAAACTCTTAAATCACAAGCAAATGAAAATCCAAGTTGTAACTTCAAACTCTAAAATCCCACACGCATAATATGATTTCACCAATCAGATGAGCAACGCTTAAAGAATAACCAGCTTGAAAATAAACCCAAAATACCTGAAATTTGAAACTTGTAAAATAGCAATAGATGTCACTTCAAAACACCAAATATTACTTCCTTTCGAACTTCATAAACCAAAAAAAAAAAAAAAAAAAAATAACCCAAAAAAAAAAAAAAAAAAATCAAGAGTTTTTTATCTGAAACCTCTAATACTTAGTTCCTGTTGCAGAAAAAAGCGTTCAAAAAATTAAAGATATTATTGCTCGATTTCGTTCAACTTGTGACCTTGCTAACCATGTCAGTGCCAAGATTCGAGAGCTTGAGCTTGCCAAGTCGGGGGTTAGTGGCACGCTTCTTCGCATCGAAGCGATTGTGAAATAGAAAATTACGTTGAGGGAGTCAAAAGTGATATCAATGAGATCTAGGCTTGAATTTGAGCATTTGCTGGAGTTGATGGAACAAATTCATAATCAGAATCAAATTAATTTTGTTGGGTGTTTAATGCATTTGTTTAAAGCCATGCTTAGGTTTTGCGGATTTGGTTCTTCTTGAAGAAATCAGGAAAACAAATAGGTTTTGTCGATTTAGTTCTCTTGAAGAAAATAAATGGGATGACGGCAATTGATTGATGGTGCGAGGTAGTAGGTGGTAGTGAGACTTAACAAAAATGTGTTTTAGACAGTTGCAGAGATGAAGGAACGCAAAGATGAAAGAGGAGGAGGAGATTGTGTTTGGTCCAATATCTGTTTTGATATTATTAAAGGGTATTTTAGTCCTTTACGAGACATTTAACAGTAAAAATCATTAAAATTAGACTCAATGACCATCTAATTAAACGGAACTAAACCTCAATGACTAAATACCTAATATACAGAAATGTGAAGAAGAGTTAATTAATTTTGTAAAACATTAAGGGAGGAATAATTATTTTTCCACATAAAAACAGGGTGCTTTGCCTTATATGGAAGTTTGTCACTTGGCATTATTTGGATTACAGAATGACAGATGTTAGAATTCTAACACAATTTGCCACTTGACAATATTTTGAATTGTTGAATGGCTAATGTTAGAATTCTTACACAATTTAGCACAATTGTAAGAATTGTAAGAAAATCGGTTGTTTTATATTTTCAATAATATATTTATCAATACAATATCTAGAAAAAAAGATTATCTATAGCATTTAATATATTAATATAAATTCATTTTTTCTTACAAAATAATTAATAAGTAGTACACACGCTTAAAAAAAAAAACAATATATAAACAATTTACAAAATATAAATTGGAACGTACGTGATACGCTGATTTATAAGAAAGTATGACATTCACAATTTACAACACACTACACTAAATAAGTAACACATTAATATTTCAAATAAATAAATAATAATTTATAATAAATTATAAACATAAAATAAAAAAAAATTAATTTCTTAATAATTTATAATAAATTATAAACATAAAATAAAAAAAATAATTCATTTCAATGACACAAAAACAAATTAAAAAAAAACACATTATTTTTTATTGATAATAAAAAAAACCTTGATTGATTAATTTGGTGTATTGTACAGTCTCATATACTAGGAGCTAGGTTGCACGGATACAAGACACGAGATACAAGAACGCTCGAAATAAGATAAATTTTAAAAAATGTAAAATATCCACTTGCTTAAGACACACTACACTAAATAAGTAATACATTAATATTTCAAATAAATAAACAATCATTTATAATAAATTATAAACAAAAAATAAAAAAAAACTTAATTTCTTATTTCAATGACACAAAAATAAATTAAAAAAAGATTTCATTTTTTATTGGTAATAAAAAAAATCTTAGTTGATTAGCTTAGTGGTGTATGGAGTAGTTCTATTCTAGTACCAAGAGATAGGTTGCACGGTACAGTACACGAGATACGGCAACATATATTGAATAACAATAATTTTTTAAAAAGTAAGAGATATATACACTTTAGGACACCATTACACTAAATAAGTAATTACATTAATATTTCAAATAAAATAAACAAGTCGTTTATAAACCAAATTATAAAACATAAAATAAAAAAATAATAAATTTTCTTATTCCAATATTTCAAATAAATAAACAATCGTTTATAACAAATTATAAACATAAAATAAAAAAATAATTAATTTCTTATTCCAATATAATTAATTAAATTCTCAAAATTATTATCACTATTGAAAATTATATTAATAGTGTGTATGCGTTTTTTTATGTAAGTCATACCATGTATGACTTTTGCTATTGCATATCCGATGAAAAGTTTCTCAGAATACTTAATAAAACATATTTTAACATAACTTTTCAGCATATCTCAAAATATATAATTTATCATTTTATTATTTAATTTTAATATTTATAAATGATATTATAAAAAATAATTTTATCTTTAAATATTGGACCGCACATGGCGCGGATTCTAAACGCTAGCTATCATAATACAAAACAAGAGTATTGTGCAAATTACCATAACGCACACAACTGGAATATCGGTCCCACTCGCTAACACGGACGAGTCCAACAATGTATCAGCTCTCAATAAGAAAATAAAGAAAAAGAAAGAAATTGGCGGGAGGAGATGGAGGCTTGTGTAGAACAAAACACTGAATTTCTTAACAAGTTGTTTAATCTAATCTAATATATTAATAATAGAAAAGAGAGCGTTAGAAAATAACTTCATTAGCTCACTGCCAACTATCATTTCTCTCAATTAAATTCATGCTTCAATTTTTTAAATTTGAAAACCTTTCGAACGTCATTGGGCTTAAGCCCAATTCTTATTATTCAAAAAAGCAAAAAAGAAAACAAACATCAACTTTGGTTTTAACTTTTAAGCCACTATCATCTTTGTTCTCGCCGCTCTCTCTCTCTTACTGCCACTGACTCTTGCAACCCAGCCATCAAGACAAAGACTCTTCCAGCCCGATAACAACGGCTTGACTTCGACGGTAGCTGCCATCAACGTTTTCTCTAACCTGCCCTCTCGTTGTGCCTCTTTTTCCGTTCAGCGGTAATTTGTTTTTATTTGCATTCGTCTCTTTTTCTGTTCTTTTGAAGTTTTTAATGTTCACTTGTGTGTTAGGGAAAAATTTGGAGACAGTAAAATATAACTTTCTAGGCCAGCCTGAAATTGCTGAATTTGTCCTGTATAGAAATCGAAAGATTAAGAATTAAGTGCGGAACAACATTGAATGTTATTCCTTATGTGGATGATACCATTTTTATACTTGAAGTGGTATAATGGTTTGATTCTAGCAGGAATTCTTATATGCTTATTGCAGAACGAAGTTCTTTTTTTTTCGCAGCAGCTATGTCTAAATGTAGAACTTCTAGTTAGCTTCTGCAAAACCTTTCCTTAAATTTTGCATATCCTCAATGGGTTTGGTTGGGTTGGGTAGTTAACAGTTAGTACTATTCAGATTTGGGATGGAGATAGTTGCATTTCTAATTGGGTTGGGATGGATATTGGATTTTTAATCGGATTTGGAATTGTATTGCTGTTTGGGCGAGTAGCTTACCGTTGCCGTTTGTGTTCCTCTTTTAGGACCTGAAAGAGAGAGAGAAGGTGGTGAGAAGGAGAGAAATGGATAAGAAGGCAGAGATAAAAATACAACAACAGAAGAAGCAAGTTCATCTCTTTTATTGTGTGGAGTGTGAAGACCTTGCCCGTAAAGTAGCTGCTCACTCTGAACTCATCACCCTTCGGTCCATAAACTGGAGGTCCTTTTTGGCTTTCTCTTTCGTTTTACTTTATGTTTATTTTATAGTCTCAATGCTTTATATAACTTTTTCTCCATGAATACATGGGTAAATTTTTTTTTCTCTCTTTCTTTGAGTGGGACTCAGACTTTTATGTTACAAAGAAATTGTTTTCTGAATACAAATTGAATGTTCTTTGGGGCTTGATAGTTTGGAAATGCTTTGTCGAAAGAATGCAAAATTTTTGTTTCCACTGTAGATGGGTTTCGCGCATACTTTGCTACATACAAGGTATGCAAGAACATTACCATTTCTTAGGAATTAGATTGTGATTTTCTCTTTTGTTTTATTTGTTTATTTGTTTTAGAAAAGGCCAAATGGATTTAAGAGGTGTGATCTACACAATAGGATAGCTATCCCCCTTTCTTAACTCTCATCATATTAATGAAAACTCAAAACTGAATGGAAAGACTGAAATCTAAGATTCTTCATTCCTGAAACTTATAAAAGGAAATAGAGGACCAACTGGATGAGGGCTTGTTAGCGGGTTACTTAACTCATTTTTCAAGCAACAAATGTTTTTGTCAGGTTTAACCTCTTTAACTTTGTTGCTAGAACTTCCGATGGGAGTTTGTCTTTTATCTCTCACAAACTAAAGAATGATATACTTACTTGACCACAAAGCATGTTGGAAATTGCGCATGCAACATTCACTTAATGTTTAGTAATGGAAGATTTGCTGATCTTCAAGTGAAACCTTTTCTGGGTTTAAAAAATTACTCTTAAATCTGTTCTCTACTTTCCTCTTTATATGATTATGTCCCCTTTATGGATTCTTCAATTCCAAATTTCATGCATACAGGTTTCTATTATAATAGAAAATAACCTTCAGCTGGTGTTCTATGGATAGTATTTTTATGTGATATGGACTATTTATGTTGTTTTTTTTTTTTTTTTAACACTTATCAGGAACTTTGATGATGGATTTCCAAACCTTTATATAAACGATGCACATGACATCCGAGGTCAACATGTTGCCTTTCTTGCGGCTTTTAGTTCCCCAGGAGTCATCTTTGAACAACTTTCTGTCATATATGCTCTCCCGCGTCTGTTTGTTGCTTCCTTCACTTTAGTTTTGCCATTCTTTCCGACTGGCTCCTTCGAGCGGATGGAAGAAGAGGGGGATGTTGCAACTGCATTTACCATGGCAAGGATATTGTCTAATATTCCCATATCAAGAGGTGGCCCCACTAGTCTAGTTATCTATGACATACATGCCTTACAGGTTTCGCCCCCCTCTTTTTTTTTTTTTTTTTTTTTTTTTTTTTTTTTTTCATGCCTTACAGGTTTCGCCCCCCTCTTTTTTTTTTTTTTTTTTTTTTTTTTTTTTTTCTGAAATATATCCGAAGATGTTTAAACTTAAAAAAAAAGAAGTGCCTTTCACATTTTGGTCCTGCTATTGGTTCAATATTAGTTATTTATATTATATACTACTATCAGCGCCAAAATACCAAGATTTTGAAGGACTTAAATTATTTAAATCTTTAATATTTTTTGGGTTGGCTTTTTTTTTTTTTTTTTTTTTTTTTTTTTTTTTTCTGAATATATCCAAGATGTTTAACTTAAAAAAAAAAGTGTGCCTTCACATTTTGGTCCTGCTATTTTCAATATTAGTTATTTTATTATATATACTACTATCAGCGCAAAATACAAGATTTTGAAGGATTAAATTATTTTAAAATTTTAATATTTTTGGGTTGGCTTAAATGCATCGTTCACCCTGAACTTTGTGTTTTATTGTAATTTCATTCTATTTTGATCTTTATGCCAATTTCACATTGAACTTTAACCTTTTATTGTAATAGCACCCTAAACAAGTCATCAACTTGAAAAAGTTCTCAAAAACCTCCAAGGAGCATTAATGTATCAATTAGGATGATCATGTATTGTTGACAGAAGCTATCCTTTACCTTCAATTTTTATAATAAAAACTTCAGCACCAAAGGCACCTGTGTCATTTAGCAAATATCCATTAGAAGGATTATTGAATGTATTGAGCGAAATGAATTGAGAAAAACCAAGTTTAGTTTTTAACTTATGAAACTGTGTTGCTTTTGCATGGGCATCTACTAGCCGTGCATGCTTAAATTGTCTAAAATCATATGGAAATGGAAGTTTAATGAAAATTATAAATAACGCACAATTTTCACACACAACTCTCTGTTTTGATCAAATAAGACATTGTTGTCATTAACCTTGTTGAGAGATGGAACTTTGGTTAAATTAACCTGAGGTCAAGAAATTGCAATTTAGAATGCTATTGCAATAGAACGTCAAAGTTCAGGGTGAAATTCCAAAATACAGTGAAATTGCAACATAACGCAAATTTCAAGGTGAAATAATGCATTATGCCTTTTGGTTTAAAGTCTTCTATTACTCAGTCCCTAAAATATCAGAACATTGTTTTGTTGTCATTTTTTATCAGCCTTAAAAACACTCTCTTCATGTCTAAATTAACTTTTAATATTTGATAACTAGTAATGAGCCTTTTTTTTAAATGATTACAGGAAAGGTTTTATTTCGGGGACCATGTTTTGCCTTTGTTTGAGACTGGGATTCCTTTGCTAAAGCAACGTCTTCACCAGCTTCCTGACTCTGATAAGGTTTGTTGCATCACAAAATTGCTTCTTTTTGGCAAATATGTTGGTATATCACTGGTCATTGTTGTGATTATAACTTTAGAATTCCTTAAAGAGTTTCATCATAGGAACAGTGGCTACCAATTATTACTTGTTCCTATTTAATTATGTTGCCTTTCAGATTGTTGTTGCATTTCCAGATGATGGAGCTTGGAAACGATTCCACAAGTTGTTGGATCACTTTCCCATGGTCGGTTCATAATTTTGGCTCAAATGTCCAATAGTTCTATACTCAATTGTTGCATTGTCTCAGTGACTCATGTTGTTGATGTTAGGTGGTGTGCACAAAGGTGCGTGAAGGTGACAAGAGGATAGTTCGGCTCAAGGAGGGAAATCCTGCTGGTTGTCATGTGGTCATTGTTGATGATTTGGTGCAATCTGGAGGAACCCTTATTGAGTGCCAGGTATTTCTTATTTGGTAAACCCAAACTTAAAACTGATACAAGATACTTGTTCTTCTGAGACTTTTTGCATCAATTGGAGATCATGTTCTTTATTTTTTATTTTCAACTTCCGTATTCTGTCAAAATTATTCAATGTTTTCCCTTATTACATTAGTTGTTTTATGTAACTCATCTAATTTTAGAAGATTGCATATTCTTCGTATCATACTTATTCTCTCCTTGATTCATGATTTTATAAGTTCTCAAAATTTCTGTGTCCCTAATTATCTTGCCAAATGCTTTTTCCTTGATTTAATTGTGCTGCTGAATTCGTCTAGGTTTGAATTTACATATGCTATTGATAATTTAGGTTTCAAGTATGTCACTTTTTTATCATGATGCAAGTTTAACTTCTAAGACAAAATCTAATTTTACATTGAAGGAGATGATAGTGCGATAAGAATTCTAATAATGAAATCCTTAAGCTTTTAAGTTTCTCTGGGTTCCTTTCATTAGTTTCTGGCTGCCTGCCTGAAAGTTTCAGAGCAGATTGAATCCGGTTATCTTCTGCCTTCTTTTCAGTATTTTTTTGGGATTGGTTGTAGAGGTTTTGGATGTAGGGACTGGGGTTAAAGAATTCTACAATCCATTCTTTTGGTGGTCGTTTGATTAGTCTATGGTATCTGAAATCAATATAAAAGGAAAATGTAGTGTTAATGCACTAAAAATTTTATGAAGTTGTCAGAATGAGCCTCTTGTTTCAAAAATAGCCCGCACAACGTAAGCAAAAATAACCCACTTCAGGCATTAGCTTCTCATTGGTGCCTAGGCACCTCAGTCCAATGGATTCTTTTTTTTAATAAATTCTCTCTTTATTGTTGGTTTCATATATATCATAAGCTTATGTCAATTGCATCAAATCACTTGTTAAAGAGTTGTATATGATATGGTTGGGTTTCTTAATCCTGAATTCAAGTTGCCTCTCTTCCTCCCAAGTAAACTGACTATTCAGAGCATCAACCAGTGTTTTCAGGGTTATGGCTCATCCTCTGAAAATTATAGATGACTAACAGGATAATTTTATGGTGGTAGAAATTGAGAGCCTTAACTGTAATTAATGTAAAGAAGTAGAAGAGAGTGTCCATTTACTTGATAATGGTTAGATTAGTATTAGTTTTTGTAGGAGTAGCTTGGAGAGTAAAATTGGGGGTTAGCTATTTTATGGGCACCCTAAACCCCCCACAGACTTGAAATAGTATTTGTTTTATGGGCACTTATTAGCTGTTTTCTTCACACCCCTTAGTTTCCGTGCCTTTTACCTGAGTCCCATGTACCCTATACTTCTTGTAAGCTCTGACAGGCACATTTGCTAGAAGGGAGTATCAATGTAAAGAACAAAATGTTATGTTGCTGTCATTAGTTGCAGTTTTGCTGGATTGGATGACAAAGTAATTTGTTGGATTGGTTGACAAAAACTAGAGGACCAATGAAGAACAAAATATGGGTAGGATAGACGTTGCTTTATGCTGTTGATGAGAATTTCTTCTGTGTTTTCCTTGTGTAGGGCCCTTCTCTTATATAAAGATTGCTTATTCTTGGTTACAGTGCACATGTATGAATCACATGGGAAGATGCCGTGGGGCAAGCTAGAGAAGAAAGAGATGTGATATGGACAAACATTGTTCAGTTAATAAAAAGGTTAATATCGTCAAAGTAGAAAAATTATAGAACCTTGTTTTATCTTCGGCAAAATGTAGTAGGGAAATAGTCCAACCCAGTACAGAATATTAAAACCCAATTCCACAAGCTAGAGTTCTAAGAATTGGCATTAGTTTAAGATTTGGATATATTGAGTTTGTTTGGGAACCATATCCTTTTAAATGGTTTTGTTCAGATAGATTTGTGGCCATGGAGATTGTGTACTTAAATAAATTAGTGGCTGACATTATTGTTGACTTATTAACTGTAAACTTAAACAATTATCTTCTTTATTTTTTGCATTTTTATCTTCCAGAAAGTATTGGCAGCTCATGGTGCCGCAAAAGTTAGTGCATATGTCACCCATGGTGTGTTTCCTAATCGCTCATGGGAACGTTTTACTCAAAAAAGTGACGGTAAGACCTATATTTTTCCACCAATACATTTCCACATTATTTTTATTTGTGTTTTCTCCATGGCAAATTCTTATAATTCAATTTTCTGATCATTTTGCCATTTTATTTTCGAAAGGATCAGGCAGTGCATTTGCCTACTTTTGGATCACAGATTCATGCCCTCTGACTGTCAAATCCATCGCAAACAAACCTCCATTTGAAGTTCTGAGCCTTGCAGGATCCATTGCAGATGCACTGCAAATATGAGCAAGAGCAACTTATATGCAACTTTATGGTGAGATACTGATGCTTGCCCGTGATATATAAATATAATAACCATAAAAGACTTGTTGATTTTCTGGAAAACACCAGCCATTTACCGATGCCATTGAAATTGTTATGGCATTTGACAATCCTTTAGTGCTTGTCTATAATTGATAATTTTGTGTACTTTAATCAAAATGACTGGAATAAACATTGTGACAAATCATGTGAGGTCCCTTAGTATTCCCGATTGTTATTCTGAGCTTCTCTTTTCCCTTGTTTATTTTTCTGTTCTGCTTCTTTACTGCATGGTTTGAAGATTGAAAAAGATGAATTGAATCCTCTTTTCCCCCTTGATTACTGTACAAACTGACAGCTCAATTGCTTTAGCAATACTAACACAAGCCATAAATCATCACCAAGCTTATCAAATTTTATAAAAAGCAACCCATATCAAAGTATGTTTTCTTTAGCAGTTGAACATACAATAGTGATGAGAGAATGAATATAATTATTATTTAATCCTTATGGTTTGGCAAAATTATAGTATTAACGGATGGAAGGATCAATTAGTTAGAATTTTTAAAAGACAGACTTATTCATCTACTTTTGAAAATAGAGGAATGAAGTAGTTAGTTTCACTAAATCTACCAGAGACTAAATAGTAAGTTTTCCTATTTTAATTTTACTCCAATTTAGTTGAGTGCAAGTGTCATTTACTTTAACGATTGCAATTGACTGCATGACTGCATCGACGGAAAAAAGCTTAATTATGTAAGTTTTAAAATTTTAAATAAATGATATTTGAGGTTGTTCAAGTTCAATCAACCTTCTAATCAAGTTTAAAACAAGGCTGCCCATGTTTAATGATAATCGAATTAGATTCGCAATCATAGCAATCAACTGTGTTCTAGTTGATCTTCTAATTCCCCTTAATTGTGTGAGAAAACAATGTTTTAGGTTTGAGTTTTTCGTTTACAAGAACTTTCATTAATTTGATAACAATCATTGAAAGAGGGAAAAAAAAATTGTACTTCATATGGTCATATTTTTAACAGAACTGGAAAAGATACAAAGAAAGAAACATTCTCCTTTTATTTATTTACTTATTTTTCTAAATGACATTCTGTATTCCTGAAGGTTATGTAACTCATTCAATAAGTAATGCTTTCCATACTAATCCAGTTCTGATGCCACTCTTCCCACTATCTGCGAGTCATCTTCACCTAACATATTTTCTGCATAACCAAGCTTTAAGTCAAAAGCAGAAGCAAAGGATAGATAGGAAAATAATTATTCACAAAAAAGTTCAGCACTTTTACATTATGAGCTTGTTTGATGTGAATGAATCCCATAACATTTCATAGAACTCATGTACGGCTGTGTTCGATAACAGTTTTTTTCAAACTACTAGCTATTAAAATAACTAATTTTTCCGATCAGACCCTATAAATCCAAATTTTCATGTTTTGGAATTCCACAATCTTAATTCTATAGATTAGTTATGTTTGATATCAAAATTGATAGAATTTGCAGAACTCTCGGAATTTTTTTTTTTCTTTTTGGGAAACAAAAATGAACTTTAAACTTCAAAAGAGTACAACTTATTAAAACTAATGAATTCATAAGTACAAACTAGTAAAATATTTAAAATGAATTCTATAGTTGATCCAAACATGAAAATTCATTTATAAATTAACATGAACAAAAAAAGATTTCGTTTATAAATGAAATGAAATCCACAGAGATTTATTCCAAACATTATGTATGGGAATAATTGCCAAATATGCAATTTTGATGGATGCAGCAAACCTCACCTGGAAATTCTTAGGATCTCACTCTAACCGAGTCATAAGTTTCAATATACTTCCCCGCTGTTTTATGCCAGCTATTGTCGGTTTCAATAACCTTCTTTACAATGCGATTCCACTCATTTGGCTCTGCAAAAAATTGAAATTTAAAATGGAAGAAAGAAAAAAACCAAACTTAAATACATTAATGTCATGGAGCTTGCTGCCTTAGCGCTATCCCTTCGGCCGTATAGTTTTTGGACAAGAAATGAAATGAACTATTACTCTATCCACAGGCACCTATAGTTATCATTGGAATTCCATTAAAGCATCATATTCGAACTGTCCATGCCCGTGAGTGTGTGACCATGCAAAAGCCATCTCAAAACCTATCTGAGATATCAGAAAATCTAATTGCAACGATGAACTACAGTGAGAACTGAATTTAGTTAAGGCATACAAAAGATACGTGAATTGTAACTTAAACTAGTTCATTGATATTTGGAAACCCTAAAGATTATCAATGTTAAATTGGAAAGAGCCAAGTCGACCATATGTCAAATCATCGAATCTTAATGTGTAGCTCTTTCACCTGAGCATTTAGCAGGAACTAAGAGGTATAGAGTTATCAGCAAACATGACCAAATTAAGGTATATCCTAATCCAATTAAGTAACTGAATTATTAAATAAAATCCAATCCATCAATCCAGTAAATTTTCAAACTTTCAATATTTGGATATCTATTGATAATATGGTAATTTTGAAAAAAAAAAAAAAGAAAAAAGAAATGAAGCAGAATAGTATTGTCAAGTTTGATACCTGCTATATAATCACAATTAAAATCAATTTTATTTACATGTATCCATAAATGAAATTAAAATTACGACACTAATTAAAAGGCCAAATTAAAAAAAAAAAAAAAAAAGAGAGAACTATGATTTTATGCTTGTATATTGCCATAATATATAATATTTCCTTGCATTTTTAGAAATACACAGTTTAGTCCTATTTTTTCTCTCTGCTTTATGCTGTTATATCCTTCCATTAATTTTTTGTACCTTTTTATCAAGAAATTACTATTTTGTCCTATATTTTGTTAAAATTGACAAATCTATCCTTGTATTTATTAGCTATTTTGTTTCTGTATTTTGCCAAAATTAACTAATTTCTACCTGTATTTAACGGAAAAGTACAAAAAAATTAACAAAATGGTATGATAGTATAACGGAGGCAAAAATATAGAGATAAGACTATATATTTTTAAAAGTGCAAGGGCAAAATCATGTATTTTGACAAAATAAAAAGACAAAATAGCAATTTTCCCATTTTAAAAAGGACAAAATAGAACTTTGCATGCATAATCAAATTTAGCCAATTCTTTTAGTTTTATCTATTTGCACTTCAAAATTTACCACTAATTTCAATTTTAATAGATCTATTTGCACTTCAAAAATTTACCAACTATTTCAATTTTTAATTAGTTGGATGGAATTTGAAATATTTTTGGCCAAAATATTTCCATCATTCCAACTATTAAAATTGAAATTAGTGGTAAATTTTTTAAGGCATTAGAAAATTTTGGTTCTGCCAAAGTTCCGGTCTATTGTTACCTCAACCTCTCACATTTCTTATTCACTATTTAGCAATTAGACTTAAATTGATAAAAAAGAAAAAAGTATTAAAATTGAAATTAGTGGTAAATTTTAAGCATTAGAAAATTTGGTCTGCCCAAGTCCGTCTATTTGTACCTCAACCTCTCACATTCTTATCACTATTTTAGCAATTAGACTTAAATTGATAAAAAAAAAAAAGGTATTTCGTAGCTAAATCAAATAAAATATTATTATTTAATTATTCAAGGAAAAGATAAATGACCATGTATCTCCCACTGTGATTAAAGTAAAAATGTTGGGTGGTAAAACAAATTGTCAACTATGTGATGACAAAAATGCAAGAATTAATACAGGCTGAACTTACTGTCTCTGTAATAAGCAAATGCACGGTCTAGAGCCCAATTTAAAGATCCTTCATCAATCCCTTCAAAGACAAACCTGACAAAAAAATTATCATATTTCATATTACAACCAAGCAATTGAAGATTAGTGAAACAACAAACATTTGCTCATCCATCTGAAACAGCAAAGGACCATATCTGCTTATCAAAGACAAATTAACACATTTATGCATGTATGTTTCCTTCATCCATTGACTTTCTACCAACTACTTGGGTCAACAATGGGAAGCCTATTTGACTATTTGCTCCTCTTTTTCCAATGAAGAAAGTTTGGAGGCCAAAAACTCATTGCAACAAAATGATGATTTCTTATGAGACGAATGTTTCAAATTACAAGAAAAAAAAGTCAAGCAATGATCCATTCAGCCAAAACTATGAGCATGTGATGTCTTTTATACACAAAAATTGCAAATGGGCTTTACATTTTTTCTTTTAAACATTGACTTTCCGGGATGAAAACATAGATAGAAATGGCAAAAATGATGATTTATAAATTGAAGCACAATGAGAAGGATGTCAACCAATCTAATTTCTCCCAGCACAAAATATTACATCTAAAACAACCGTTAAAAAATCTACAGAGAATTAAAATACAGAATTGTTTTCAAGGATGTCATAGAAACCAATGGGACATAGAATTCTCTGCAAAGGACCAGGGGAGATTAGTGTCTTGCAAGCCCTGTTACTTCACAGAAAGTAGTAACCAATCAGAAGGTTGAATACATAGAAACAGTATCTTTCATCTTATTAGCAAGCTTATTCTACATATAAGCAGTTTCATGGCGCTATATGCATGAGACATGCAAGATCTTAGAAACCAAATTTTGATATCTCAATGACACTAGAAGTTATAAAAGTAGCACTATCATCAAGAACTTGTCCAAACTGTAACTTTCATGATTATGCAATCCATGGAAGGATCCATCGGCTACCAATACCTGCCAAACTTTATCCTTTGCATTTAAAATATCAATAACTTCTGTTAACTCGTGTGATATTGTGTACCTTAGAGAAATAATTTAGGAGGATTTTTTTCCCTTTCTGGAATTTCCTTTTTAGACTTAGGTTTGTGTATTTATATAGGCTGAATGCAAGTCTTCAATTAAGAGAGAAATAACAGAAAAAATTTCTTCTCCTTACAATCAACATGGCATCAGGCCTTATTTTTCCTATTTCAAAAATTATTTTCCTCTGCTTTCAAAAAACAGAATCAGCTTTAAGAAACACAGCAGCGGTGCAAATATCTTCTCTGTTTTCAGTTTTGAAAAACAGAGTGTCGGCCAAACTGAAGTTGCTGAGTCCATGAAGTGCATAATGACACCACCCAGCCAGATCACTTTGCCAGCCGCTGATTATGCAATGAAAGCTTGTACAGACTCTCATTATAAGTTATTATACATATATGATAGTGCTATAATGAATTTTGTGTTACGTTAGTTTCTCTTTTCCACCAGCTATAGCTTTTTGTCACTATACAGAAACTGATCCGCATATATAACTTGCTTAAGGAAAAAAATATCAATTAAGATACAAGAAAACCCTGAATAATCAGGGGAAATCCAAATAGTTAATAAAAAATAAATGCATGATGGCCAATGTTTAATCATTGATGCTGCCAATGATAAAAACCTAGAGCAAAATGGACTTGAAAACTCAGTCATTAGAAAAAAAAAAATGGTAAAGATAGAGAACTAAATTTTCACAGTTAGAAATTACAATACCCATTAGCAATCTCATGGTTTGACTGATCGTCCATGTCAAACACTGTGTCTGCAAGGCCACCAGTCTTTCTAACCAATGGTACCTGAAACAATGTCATACTTGAAATTAAAATTTCACCTTCTTTTGTCATTCCTAAAACTTACACCATACATGTACCCTTCATGTATATCCTATAACAATATCCAAAACATGCTAATCGTGATTCCGAGCAACAAAGTTCTAGCATGTATAGTATGCGATTGTGTTAAGAAATTTTATAAACAGTGTTACTACAAGCAAAACCATCAAATCTTTAGACATTTTCTAGTAAATAAGCAAGAAAAATAAGAAACTTACATTTTAGTATTGCCACTCAAATAGTGAGAATCAATCATCTTAACTATTTCATACATACCGCACCATATCGCATTCCAAGCATTTGGGAAAGTCCACATGGCTCATATATGGAAGGAACTAATACTATGTCTGCCGCAGCATAAAGCATGTGAGAGAGCTCCTCACTGTGTACAAAGATAATAGTCAGCAACCACTATATGGATATGAAATAAATAGAGCTATTGCACCAAAAATATATATATAAATATATATATATTCATTCAACTAATGCAAGGAAAAAGTATTCTTAGCCCTTAGGAACAGAACTCCAGTATTATTGAAAAGGGTAAAAAAGGATAGGGGGAAAAAAAAAAAGAAAGACAAAGAAACTGAAGTTCTGAAATCAGTAAAGCAGTTTGTTGATTTGTGTTACTTTTGGAGAATTTTTTTATTCAATATCACATACACAATAGTTACAACTCCATTTATAACTAAGGAGTCTATGTAAATTTCTATTCTACCCCTTACACTTAACATTAGGTTAACAGAATAAAAAAACTATATACAAGACAACACTCCCCCTCAAGTTGGTGCATAGATATTAAGCATGCCCAACTTGCATGCTAGGTTGTGGAAGGCTTTGCTACTTAGCCCCTTAGTAAAAATATCCGCTAGTTGATTATCCGATGTCACATGAGTAAGCTTCAAAACACTCTGGTTGATTTTTTCTTTTATGAAATGCTTGTCAATCTCTATGTGCTTTGTTCTATCTGCTGAACCAGATTCTGAGCAATGCTAATAGCAGCCTTGTTATCACATAACAAGATTGAGGTTCCTGAATTTGAATATTTCAAATCTTCTATTAACTTTCTCACCCATAACATTTCAGAAACTCCTAGTGCCATGGATCTATACTCAGCTTCTGCACTTGAACGAGCTACTACATTTTGTTTTTTACTCCTCCAAGTGACCAAATTTCCTCCAACAAAGGTACAATAGCCTGAAGTCGATCTCCGGTCATCTAGAGATCCAGCCCAATCTGCATCAGTATAGGCCTCAATTTTGAGATGGCCATGCTTTGAAAAAAGTATGCCTCTTCTAGGGGCAGACTTTAGATACCCCAATATACGGAAGACAGCTTCAAGGTGAGAGTCATGAGGGCCATGCATATACTGACTAACAAGGCTAATAGCATATGCAATATCAGGTCTAGTATGTGAGAGATAAATCAACCTACCAACCAACCTTTGATATTGGCCCAGATCAACTATCTTCCAAACTCCTGCTTGCAATCTGTGATTGACCTCAATTGGAGAATCACTTGCCTTACATCCTAGCATACATGTTTCTTCCAAAAGATCAAGGACATATTTCCTTTGAGAGATGAAAATCCCTTTATTAGATCTAGCAACTTCACAAGAAAGTATCTCAGGCTCCCTAAATCCTTAATCTCAAACTCTTGGGCCAAAAGTTTCTTCAGGCGAGCAACTTCTACTTCATCATTTCCCGTTACAACCATATCATCAACATATACAACGAGTAATGTGATCTTACCGTTACAGTGTCTGATAAATAAGGTATGATTAGCATTACTCTGAGTGTAACCAAAGGAAATCATGGCCTTACTGAATCTGTCAAACCACGCCCTAGGTGATTGTTTGAGACCATATAGAACCTTCTTCAACCTGTATACCTTTTCCTTGGTTTTCTGACACTCAAACCCCGGAGGAATGTCCATGTAGACTTCATCTTCTAAATCTCCATGCAAAAAAGCATTCTTTACATCAAATTGATGTAATTCCCAGTTTAGGTTAACAACACATGACAAAATGATTCTGACGGTGTTCATCTTTGCTACTAGAGCAAAAGTCTCTTGGTAATCAACACCATAAGTCTGTATATATCCTTTTGCTACCAACCTAGCCGTGTACCTTTCAATTGTGCCATCCGCTCCATGCTTTACTGTAAACACCAACTTACATCCCACTGGTTTCTTTTCTACTGAAGAAGCAACAAGGTTCCAAGTTCCACTTTTTGCCAAAGCTTTCATCCCCTATTAGGAATCTAACTCATAACAAAACTCTATTTACAACTAGTCCTTAACACTCTTCCTTAAGTTCAAGCATAGATGTTAATCATGCCTAACTTGTTACAAAGATAGTTAACTCGAGGTCCATTTAGAGCTTTTGTAAAGATATCTCCTAACAAATCACTTGTTTTAACGTGCCTTGTAGAAATAACACCCTGTTGTATCTTTTCACAAATGAAAAGACAATCAATCTCGATATGTTTCGTTCGTTCATGGAATACTGGATTTGATGCAATGTGAAGAGCACTCCGAGGGTCCATTTAAGCTTTTGTTAAAGATATCTCCTAACAAATCCTTGTTTTTAACGTGCCTTTGTAGAATAACACCCTGTTTGTTATTCTTTTCACAAATGAAAAGAACACATCAATCCTCGATATGTTCGTTTTCGTTCATGGGAATACTGGATTTTGATGCAATTGTGAAAGAGGCAGCTTGATTATCACACCCAACTTTGCCAGCCAAGCACGACTTGAAAAGCCAATTTCTCTAACACCGACGAATCACAAAAATTAATTCACAAGCAGATTTGTGCCATAGCTCCGATATTCTTAATTTCAGCACTCGATCGTGAAGGGGACTACATTACTACATTTTGTTTCTTGCTCCTCCACGATGTCAAGTTTCCACCCACAAAGACACAATATCCTGAAGTTAATCTTCTATCAACCTTCGAACCTGCCCAATCCACATCTGAAAAACACTCAATGTCCAAATGCCCATGATTACTGTAAAGCAGGTCACGACCTGGATTACCTTTCAAGTAGCACAAAATCTGTCCTAAAGCTTCCCGATGGATAAGAGTAGGAGAAGACATAAACTGGCTTAAGACGCTCACAGAGTAAACAATATCTGGACGTGTTACTGTAAGATAATTCAATTTGCCCACTAACCTTCTATACATCTCAGGATCATCAAATAGCTCACCATCAATTGAAAGTTGGAAAGTTGCAAATTAGGAGTTATTGGAGCACTACATGGCTTGGCACCCAACTTCCAGTTTCCTTCAGTAAGTCGAGGACGTACTTTCTTTGAGATAAGAAGATGCCTCTCTTACACCTAGACACTTCAATACCCAAAACATACTTCAACAATGAAAGTCTTTTGTTTGGAACTAAGTCTGGAGAAATGACTTAAGTAATGTAATGCCGGCTGAATCACTCCCTCGTTTGATTCTCTCTAACTGGTTTCTCTCTCTACTGTACATGAGCTGAAGAAAGGTTAGTAAGGCTCTGATACCATGTTGACTTGTGTTACTTTTGGAGAATTTTTTTATTCAATATCACATGGACAATAGTTACAACTCTATTTATACCTAGAGAGTTTATGTAAATTTCTATTCTACCCTTTACACTTAACATTAGGCTAATAGAATAAACAAACTATATACAAGGAAAAGTATTCTTAGCCCTTAGGAACAGAACTCCAGTATTATTGAAAAGGGTAAAAAGGATAGGGAAAAAAAAGAAGACAAAGAAACTGAAGTTTTGAAATCAGTAAAGCAGTTGATTTACCTATACATTAATAGGATACGAATGCTGGAGCCACAGAAATGCTACGAAACAGAAAGATGAGTGAGTATTTATAGCTTCCAATAGTCTTGCAGCAAAAAAAGAAATAACAAAAGGGAAATAGAAGTATTTCAGCAGAGAAATCAAACAAATAATAGCAAAAAAGGTTTTTTTTTTTTATTTTTTTATTTTTTTTATAAATAAAAGGGTTTAACATTTATTTAATGAATATACTTTTCCGTTCTGAGTTACAAGTGGTTTCTTGTGAAAAGGGCAAAAATATAAGTCAGGGCTTACAACTTCATGCCTAGACAAAACTTGCAACCTTTTATTCACAGGCCTCTTTGGTATGAATTTCCTTTTTTTTTTTTTTTTTTGGCTTGCAACCTTTTTTCACAGGCCTCTTTTGGTATGAATTTCCTTTTTTTTTTTTTTTTTTTTTGTTTTTGGGCTGTTTGTTTCTTAGTAATAAAAAGTTACATCTAGGAAAACAGGCTGATAAAACAAAGACACCTTTTGTGGTTTTCACTTGTTGTGGCCAATTTTTTCCTTTCAAACACATTCCAGCAAAAAGACTTAAATATATTTTGGAAGTATAAATTTTCTTTGATGATTTGGGACAACAAAAGCCACAAAAAAAAAAAAAAAAAAAAATGGTGACATTCTATAGAAGGAAGGCAAGGTAGCACAAAATAAAAAAAAAAAAAAAAAAATGGTGCACATTCTATAGAAGGAAGCAAGGTAGCACAAAATATTCTGTAAACCCATTGATTCGGGTTGACACCACCATGATTTATATGATACTGAACTTAATTTTGATAATTTTAACAATCAAGAACACCATCTCTATCTCAGTCATTGAAAATGAGAATCATTAGCCAAGAAAGCATAATAAAAAATAGGTTATCAAAACTGCATCAAGTAAGACCAACTCTGATAGCTTGCATGCAACTCAAATAGCTTGCATAATTCATGCTACAGAAGAAACATTTGCAATCTTGAACTAGCAGAAACTATCTCAATTCATTACCAAATCTGCAAGATGTTTGAATTCTCCCTTAACTTGGCCATCTGAAGCATTTCCAAGGATAATCATCTGCCCACCCTGAATTGACAACAATAGCAGAGCAAAAAGAAGTGTTAAATTTCATTTAATGATCCATTGCATCAATCTTTGGAACTTCTATGCAAAATAAATGGCTTCAAGAAATAGATGATAAATTTCGTCTGTCGTGCTGGAACAGCATCATGCAACTCAGAAGTATACATCAACGTTGCAATGACAAATCACACATGAAATAAATAGAAAATTAAGCTTTATACAGGGACATCAATTCACACACATTTCAAAGTTCTGACCAATGAAATCAAGTCTAGTATTATTATAATTTGATTAAGCATAGAAAACATCAATGATAAAATATTCACACCTAAAATTCCTTTACCCACAACCCCCATTTGCTTTCACATCTGCAGTTAGAATCTTCTGTTCTTCAAAAAGCTTAATGCATACACACAGTGTTAATAATCCCAAACCTAAGATTTGAATCCTAAAATAATGATGACAGCATTTTAGGACTCAGAACATAACTATACTCAATTTAATGCACAATAATTCATTTTTACATGTTAGTATCGAAATTCCCATGACTCATGAATTAAAGAAAATCTAAACAAGAGTTATACAAAACATTAAAAGAAAAGAGTATGTACTGATTCAACCAAACTTTGAAACTTCTAAACAAAGATATAGTGATTGGAAGCATATTAACAATAAGGTGATTTTTTTATTTTTATTTTTATTTTTTTTTTGAGTTTTCTTCTGTTGTTCTGCACAAAAACTATTCATATCATCATACTCTGAATATTGTCTTCCAGACTTTTAACTCATTGATAGATTAAGAATGTAACTCATCTTAGCCGATGATATCTCCACAGATCATTCCTCTGATTTAGGAACAGATTACAATTAATTTCCTGTAATTAATCTCTGTAATTCCTTTCCATATTCTGTTTGTATTCTCCCTATTTAAAGGGCCTTATACATCAATACAAATCATCAAGAATTCCAATTTAAAAGGTCTTGGACATCAATACAAAATCATCAAGAATTCAAAATCCTCAAACACTTTCATGGTATCAGAGCTTCAGTTCTGAATTCCCTCCCTCTCCTTTCTCTCCCATATTTTTTTTTAGCTGCTGCCGCCGATAGCCATGACACAAACAGAAGTCCCATCTTCGACCTCCAACCCTAAAACACCCACCCCCATTCACCCTGCCTACTTAAGAACCCTAGATGGTAGCACAGTTACATACACATCATGGGTGAAATTATTCAAGTTTCATTCTATTGCATACCGTGTTCTTGATCACATTGATGACACGCCACCCCCAGCCTCTACAGATCCATCGTACAGTGCCTAGAAAGAAATAGATGCCTTGGTGTCTCAATGGATTTACAGTACCGTGTCTGATGAACTGCTCACCCGCATCCTTGACACTGAAGCTACGGCTAGAAAAACATGGCTGAAACTTGAGAAAATCTTCCTTAGCAACAAGAAAGCAAAAGCGGCAGCTCTTGAAACAAAATTCGTTAATCTCACCCTTATCTCACCCTTGCAGCCTGCCAGTTCCGTTGATGATTACTGCAAGAAATTGAAAGACATCGCCGACCAACTGAACGATGTTGACCCAACCAGTTACAGAATCCGATTGGTCTTACTGGTCGTGGCCTTCCTCAAGAATTCGACGCCTAGCTTCTCTTATTAACTCACAAAAACGCCAGACTGGGACCTTGGCTTACGAACCATGTTGAATTGATTTGAAGGTCATTCGCCAGGCTGCACGACAAACAAAAACCACCTCTTCCTTGTCGCCTCCAAACCACGGCAGACAAACCAAAACCCAGCCGGCCACAACTCAACAACCTGAAAAACAATTCAGCCTCACAAACAGTTCTTACCACCTCCAATTATAGAGGCCGTGGTCGAGGCAGGACGTGGCACACGAAGGCAGAGGACGCGCTACAGGGGAAACTCTCCGGGACTCTTGGGCTATACCATTCAGTCCGCCAATTCAAACTACCAAATGGGCTTGTGGACACACTCACCTTGTCCCTACCCAACACAAACTTCCATTGGCCCACCAATTATATTCAAAACAACACCCCAATGGCCCATTATGCCGCTTATTCAACAGCAGCCATACGGCCCAGCACCACAATATCCCCCTCCACCGCATACTGGATATGATGCTTTTTAAAGTCCTTCCGATTCTCAGCCCAGCTTATAAACACAATGCACTTTCAACTACACAGATCCAAAATCTGATCATGGATCGGGGCGCAGAACGCATGTCACCGACAACCGAGGGTATGATTCGCCAAAAAACCCCTAACTCTTTTCCGTATAACACTAAACTTTTTAGTCCGGCAACGGACACTATGTACCAAATTTGAGGTCTCAGGAACAGGTTACCTTGCCCATCCTTAACCGTACATTACATCCTCCCAAACATACTTTACAAGGCCGACAATCATAAAATTTATTATCTGGCCGCCGTTTTTACACGCTGATAACAATATTTCTGTTCGTTGAATTTGACCCTGTTTGGTTTCTCTTTGAAGGACCTCAAAACGGGACAGCTCCTTTCCCGCCACAATAGTACCGGAGAATTCTCTATCCTGTCACTTCCAGCCAACCCTACCACCACAAGCTTTGTATCAATCACATCTCCCAATTTTTACCTTGGCGACGATCGCCGTCGGTCCAACCCTGGCACACAAGTTTTAGATGTTTTTAGACCAAAAACAGTTTGGTCTTCCTTGTAATAAAGAACAAGGCATTTATTTTTTTGGCCAATTCTTGTATTTTCTAATAGCAACGATTACCTTTTTATGAGTCAAATTCTTTACTTTTTCACCATTTGATCCCACCTGTTTTTGGTGACTTTTTCCTACAATTTGCCTCCCTATTCCAAACAAATTCTGGTATCGAACTCCATAGAAACATACATACATAGGGATACGATCTTAATTGATTAAATTTTTCCAATTAAATGTTGTGGGTATTACCTCTCCAAGTTCAAAATCTGAAACTTTCACCACCTTTACTAAATTCCGAATAAAACTCATTAGGCCACCCGCACAGGTTCGTCAACCGCCAATTATCAAAACTTTTTCAATGCTACTTGGGGGGAGAAATTTGACAACCATAACTTCAAAATTTTTGGGGGGAGAATTTGACAACCATAACTTCAAAATTTTTGCCCAACAACATGGTCTGTTATTCCGTTTTTCATGCCCCCAAACATCTTCCCAAAATGGTCGGGCTGAACGCATGATTCGTCGTCTCAACGACATCATCCGCTCATTCCTCATCCATGCTGAATTACCACCTATGTTTTGGGTCGAAGCACTTCACACTGCTGCCTATCTCCATAACATCTTTCCAACCAAACGTCTCAATTATTTCACACCCACTTTTGCCTTATATCTCCGCCACCCGACATACGATCACTTACGTGTGTTCGGGTGTGCTTGTTATCCCAATCCTCCGCAACCCAACCCCATAAATTACACCCAAGATCCGTTAGATGCATCTTCCTTGGATACCCTCTAGATTTTAGGGGATACCGATGCTTTGACCCTACAACCGGGAAGATCCACGTATCACGACATGTAACCTTTGATGAACAAACTTTCCCATACACCATTCCAACTCCACCCAAAATATACACATTTCTTGATGAACAACCACCACTAGGATTTAAGTTTATACAACCTCACCCAACACCAAACACCACCCAAACCCAAAAACGCCCAATCCCTCCTTACCCCATAATATACACCCGCCACCATAAACAACAGCCCCTTAACCCAGTGGCCAATGCTACGACACCCCAACACACTGCTGCACCTATCTCACAAAATCCCAACACTCAGACCACCGCTGTATCAAAACCCGCACAGAATACCCATCCAATGACCACTCGCTCCAAAGCTCGCCATGCCCTTATGACCACCTCAATTTCACCAATACCCACCTCTTATGCAAAAGCTTTTTCTGACCCTCATTGGTTAAATGCTATGCAGGCTGAGTTTCATGCTTTGTAGGAAAATAATCCATGGGAACTCGTGCCTCGCCCTCTTGACCGACCGGTCATTCGGTGTATGTGGCTTTTTCGTCACAAATTTAAATCAGATGGGTCACTTCAAAGGTACAAAGCACGTTTGGTGGTAAATGGCTTCAAAGGTACTCCAAAGCACGTTTTGGTTGGTAAATGGACAATTCCTTCAAACAGTGGGCTATTTGACTGTGACGATTACTTTTTAGTCCCGTAGTGAAAACCCGCTACTATACGGACTGTGATTATCCATTGCAGTTCCCGTTCTTGGCCAATACACCAGTTGGATGTCAAAAACGCGTTTTTACTATTGGGGCATAAATGAACTTGTTTTTATGCATTTCAACCCCCGGGTTTACAGATTAGAAGATAACCCTCATTTTGTTTGATGCAGATTTTTTGGAAGAAGAATCGCCTTTTATGGGCTGGCAAACAGGGCTCCGGGACATGGATACACCAGATTTGCAACCCATCTGACTGTTCTCCTGGGTTTCGCAAAGCAGTGTGTGTGAACCAATTCCCTATTCATTTTCTCAAAGGGGAAAATCAAGCTTGACTTATTTACTTCATGTATGTTGATGATATAGTGCTCACTGCCTCTTTAATGAGTATGCAGAATATTAATTTCCGGCTGGCTCTCACGAAGAGTTATTGCCAATGACAGATTTGAGGCCAGGTGCATTCATTTCCTGGGAATCAAAGTGACAACGGACATCTTTGGTGGTTATTTTTGGATTCAAATCCTCAATACCACAAAGGGATATCATCTCCAGAGCATTCAATGTCTCTTTGCAAGAGCTTCAATGTCCTCTTGCAAACCGTGTGCCACCCCAGTCGATCTATCATCAAAACTGAGTGCTTCTGATGGACCTCTCTTCCATGATCCAACATTATACTGCAGTCCTGCTGGCGCATTACAGTATCTCACATTCACACGCCCAGATATATCATATGCTGTTCAACAAATATGCCTCTTCATGCATGAACCGCGGGATCCACACTATGCCTTTCTCAAAAGAATAATCCGATATTTACGAGGCACAGTTGACTACGGTATAAGAATTGGCAAGACAAATACACATACCTTGGTAGCATACTCAGACGCAGATTGGGGTGCCCAGACTCCAGAAGATCAACTAGTGGCTACTGTGTTTTTCCTTGGTGATAATTTGATTTCATGGTCTTCAAAACGGCAGCCTACTATCTCACGGTCTAGTGCAGAGGCAGAATATAGAGGAGTAGCCAATGTTGTTGCAGAGACCACCTGGCTTCGCAATTTACTTCTGGAATTACACCTCCCACTTCAGCAGGCCTCCGTCGTATACTGTGACAATGTTTCAGCAGTGTATATGTCTGACAATCCTGTCCAGCATCAACGCACAAAACACATTGAGATCGACATACACTTTGTACGGGAGAAAGTTCGAATAGGCCACATTCGGGCATTTCGGGTCTCACATGTTCCCAATCTGCTTTTCAATATGCTGAACATCCTTCACCAAAAGGCTTATCTCGACAGTTGTTCAGTATCATTATCGCATCCAGCTTGAAAGTGTCTGTCCTCCGCCGCTCAAATGCGGGAGTACTATAAGCGATTGATATCTCCACAGATCATTCCTTCTGATTTAGGAACAGATTACAATTAATTTCCTGAATTATCTCTGTAATTCCTTTCCATATTCTGTTTGTATTCTTCCCATTTAAAGGGCCTTATACATCAATACCCCAAATTCATTCTTACAATTAATTTCCTGTAATTAATCTCTGTAATTCCTTTCCATATTCTGTTTGTATTCTCCCTATTTAAAGGGCCTTATACATCAATACAAATCATCAAGAATTCCAAATCCTCAAACACTTTCAACTCAGTCAAGTTCAGAATTGACTTGCATAATATTTAGATTTGCCTCATTTAAAGTAAAAGTCAAGCTTGAACTCAGGTAAAGAGTCATGTTAAGTTTTGAGTATTACCATACTTAACCCAAGTGCTCACAAGCCTAATCAAATATTAAAGGGCAGAACAAGCATAAATATTTCAACATTTTTTCATCTCTAACAATTCAACTTACTCTGGTGCATCCATGATTAATATATATTCGATGCTTAAAACAGATATAATTAGAAAAGAAGATTAAAATGCCATTGTCAAGCATGGATATCAATCTTACACTCATGCCTAAGTCCAAGTAACATGAGAAGGAAACTTTTCTATGATAACTATTAGTCATATTTACCCTCTTGTTCATAACTAGTCAAGAATTTTAATCATTATCTTTTTGATTTGGGGGAGGGCAACATAGTGTGTCAATAGCAAATTTGGAGAAAGAGAGAAAGAGCATGTACTTTGAAGGGTTACGATAAACTTACAAGTTCTTCAACGCGTTTAATTGCATGGGTAATCAAATGAAGACCCTTTTGAGGAACCAGTCTACTTATACAAACAACCAAGGGGACCTTAAGCATTTCATCTGGCACATAGTTACCAGCTCCAATGCTTTTAGGAGCTAAGCCAAGTCCCCTTTGTACATAGTATTTGCATATCTTCTTGCCTTCAAGATTTTGAGCTGTGGAAACGAAATAGCATCAAGTAAATACAAGTCATCTCAAACTTATATTTCAAAAATATATAGTCCTCGTGAAACTTAAAAAGCACTACAATTAACATAAAAAGGTGAAAAAAAAATAGTACAAATGTACCATTATGAGACCAAATATGGACCAAAAAACAGTTAAGCAGAAATTTTTACATGTCCACTACACATTTATATAAAATGAAAAGTGAAACAACAAATTTATTGTGTTGAGTATATAGAGAACAAGTAGAGTAGAAGTATGAGACAGAAAGCAATGATCCTATATCTCACACATCAAATGATGATATAAAAATACAGAAAGCAATAATCCTATATCTCACACATCACAGAGCTAGGTGGAGTAAAGGTATCCATAGAAAACACAACAAGAAAATCCTAGGTTCAAAAATTTGCAGATAACAAAGTAAAAGGTTACCATTGAACTTGGCAGGCAAAAAAACATCTGTAGCAGGATTCCAAATTGCAGTGTCTATTCCATTTAAAATACCAAAGTACCTATAAAATTGCAAGAGTACCAGATTAGCAGATGAAAGAGAGTGGCAATCAAATAAATCCTAAACCTTTAAGACATGCCTAAAACTAATCCTAATCCTCTAAGGATTCAGATTACCATAAATACAGAAAGATGGATGTTTTCTAACATGAATAAAGAGTCAAAAATACTGGAATGGTAGCTAATTTCCTGAAACAAACATATAAAACCTATAAAGATGATAAGTCTTCAAACTTGCATTTTCTAGAGCCGCTTGTTTTTGGACTTGATCAAGATTCCACAAAAGTTGTCATTATCACTAGTCTTAACAAAAGCTTTCTTCAGCTGTAAATATATTCAAAATTCGGATCATTCAAGCTGAAAGAGTTCAACAGATAAAAGCAGCACATCATGACCTGCTCTGAAGCTATTGTTGCAGAGCCAAAAAAAAAAAAAGAAAGAAAATAATTACAATGAATAATTAGCCACTAACCACAGCACAATTATCTAATTGCATGCTTCAATAGCTAATATTGTGGTCAACCAAAATTGATTTTACTACAAAAGAAAAGTAATAACTAAATCAAAAAAATTTTGTAGATACATATATAAACCAGAGTGTTGGTGGACGCGTACTTATCACGATGCGTTATCAAGGTGCTTGACAGCCATCCAGAGCAGAGTGTTTCCTTGAGATATGTTGGAGAGACTGTACTGCAAAATGCACAGAGAATTGACTGTTTGACAGGAAAAACAAAAACAGAAATAACATTTTATGTGAGCTATTACTGAAGTTCACTTTTATATTCGTACTGGTTGAAACACTAAAAATAAATGTGATATATAGAAATAAATTACATCCAATTCTTCATGGCATATCATCAGCAAGTGTATAAGTTATATCTTATATATTTAATGATTTGAAACACCCATAGCTTGTCTGCTATGTGTTGTGTAGAAATTAAAGGAAAGAATATGTTTCATTTCTTTCAATTGTATTATATTTTTCAACCTCTACTCCACTATATATACATACGAAAAATTGTTCTAATATAGGAAGTAATCTAAATAGGAATATGGCATATCACAGCACAGTGTTATTAAGTTATTATCTTATATATTTAATGATTATTGAAACACACCCATAGCTTGGTCTGCTATGTGTATGTGTTTTAGAAATTAAAGGAAAGAATATGTTTCAATTCTTTCAAATTTGTATTATAATTTTTCAACCCCTCTACTCCACTATTATATTACATACGGAAAAAATTGTTCTTATATAGGAAGTAAATCTAAATAGGAATAAAACCTCACACTAGGAAACCGAGATTCTTTACACTAATTAGGGAATAAAACTTAAACTATGGAAACACCAATATTTTACTTTAAATCACATAAGATTTCAAACACTCCCCCTCAAGTTGGTGCTAGATATTAATTTCATGCCCAACTTGCAAACTAAAGGAATGAAACAGTTGCTATGCAAACCCTTTAGTTGAAAAACATCAGCTAGTTGGTCTTTATGAAGCTATATAAGAGGACCACTTATAAAACCTTAACTTATCTTCTCTTTTATAAAGTGGACAATTAATCTCTATGTTGGCTTAGATTCGACTGCTGAACTGGATTGTCTATAATTACCGATTTGGCAGCTTTACATATCACAAATAAGGTTATTTATTGTTTATATTTGTTGTTTCAACCAACTTTAACTCTTCCATTAAGCTACGCAACCATAGGAGTTCACAGATTCCCTGTGCCATAGCTCTATATTCAACTTCTGCAGTGGACCTTGCAATAACAGCCTGCTTCTTGCTTCTCCATGTGCCAGGTTTCCTCCAACCAAAACACAATAACCTGAGGTTGATCTTCTGTCATCAAGGGAACAAGCCCAATCCACATCTGTATAACCTGTTATTGTCAAATGGCCATGTTTAGAAAATAAAAGTCCTCTACCTGGAGCTGATTTTAAATATCTTAGAATCCGATGCACAGCTTTTAAGTGAGACGACTCCCAGAGCGGTCATGCATACTAACTCACGTAAACTGTACAAGCATAGGCAATATCCGCGTCTAGTTCGATGGCCAATGGTAAAATCAATCTCCGACCAATCTCTTGATACCTGCCAACATCAACTGAAACTTCCCCACTCCAGCCTTGAAGCTTGATGATTGTCTTCAATAGGTGATTCTGCAGTTTACATCCAACATATCAGTTTCTTTAAGGAGATCAAGATGTACTTTTCTTTGAGAAATAAAAATCCATTTTTCTGACCTTACAACTTCTATCCCAAGGAAATATCTCAAAGCTTCCCCAAATCCTTAATCTCAAACCCCCTAGCTAACAAATTTCTCAAGTTGAGTTATTTCTTCTTTCATTAGTCCAGATCATCACGTATATCATCAACATAAACAATAAGCAATTTGATCACTACCTTCATGATGTTTAAAGAACAAAGTATGATCAGCATCGCTTTGAATATACCCAAAAAGAAAGCATAGCTTTACTAAAACCCTTTCGAACCCATGCTCTTGGTGATTGTTTCAACCCATATAATGACTATCTTCAGCTGCAAACTTTTCCTCTAGTTGTTCATCATCAAATCCAAAAGGAATCTCCATATACACCCTCTTTCTTTCAAATCACCATTGTAGAAAAACATTTTTAACATCAAATGATAGAACTCCCAATCAAGATTGACTGCCACAAGCACAAACAAAAATTCGTGATTGTTTCACTTGGCTTACAGGGCAAATGTTTTCTGAAAACAAACTCCAGTAGTCTGACTGAATCCTCTGGCTACCCAACTAGTCCTTGCCCTCTCAATGAACCATCTTGCCCTATGTTTAATTGTGAAACACCCATTACACAAACTGGCTTCTTTCCTGGTGGAGGAGTTTACAAGATCCTATGTCCCAGTTTTTGCCCCAAAGCTCTCATCTCCTCAACCATCTAGCCTTTCCATTTTGAGTCCTGTAATGCCTCTTTGCCAAGCCCGTCTTATAGAAACAGAAAGAAAATAGACAAAACAAAGGCTCTATAGGAAGGACAGAGCATTATAGGAGATAAAGAATGGGAGATGGGCTGTTTTAGGCATGTTTCTAACTCCTTTTCTAAGAGCAATAGGAATATTAAGTAATTGTCAGAAGGACTGAATCAAGATTAGGATCAGAATTAACAGGAATTAAAGAAGACTCACCAATGTCTTGTTCTTCTGTATCTTCAGGGAACTGGAAATTGGAGGAGGACGGTTGATAGAGCGTCTCATCGCTCCATGGTTGTATCTGTCATTTAGTCCGCCATTGTGTAGGTTTTTCCAATCAGGTCTATCCCACATCTTCCTAGAGATTTGGGGTGGTTTGCTCTCTCTTACTTATCTATGTCTTATAGCAATCTCCCCCTGGAAAGAAAGCATCCATCACCTCTTTCATCTGATATTTCGCCCCCCTTGAAGAGTGACTGCGAAGAAAAATAAGAATTTCAATAAAACAAACTCCTGAAAGGTAACATCCATACTCACAAAGTATTTCCTAGAAGAAGGATGATAACACTTGTATCCTTTTTGAGTAGTAGAGTAACCAACAACCACACACGTCAAGGCTTTAGGATCTAATTTGCTTAGACTATTCTGATGAATAAAGCAAACACAATTAAAGACTTTAGGAGGTATAATATAAGAGTTTTTTACTTGAAGAACCTCTAATGGAGTTTTAAAATTTAAAGTATGAAGAGGCATACGATTGATAAGGTGAGGAGCGGTCAAAATAGCATCCCCCAATATGATTTGGGAAGATTCATAGTGAACATAAGGGACCTAGCTACTTCCAGTAAATGTCTGTTTCTCCTTTCAGCTACTCCATTTTGAGCACTAGTATTAACACAACTAGTCTGATGTATAATACCATTAGAATCTAAATAGGTACGAAAAACTACATTCATGTATTCAATACCATTATCAGTTCTTAGGATTTTAACATGCGCATCAAATTCATGCGCATCAAACTGAGTAGCAAATCATTTTTTATGGAAAGTTTCTGAAAACACAAAAAAACTTCATTTTTTGTTTCATCAAATAACCCAAGTCAATCTAGTGCAACAATCAATAAAGTCACAAACCATCTATAACCAGAAAAGAGAGACAGTTTTAGTAGGGAACCCCAAACATTAGGATGAATAGTAGCAAAAAGGAAACAAATTCTTATTATAATTGGAGAATAAGAATGCCTAGTGTATTGGCCAAGTTCACAAGCATCACATAGTAATGAATTTAATAATCCACATGTAGCAAAACAAAAAGTGGGAAATAAACGTCCTAAAACAGAAAAAACGAGGGATTCCTGAAAAAGAGGGATGTCCTAATCTCCTATGCCATTGAATAACTTCATGGGAAGGATTTCTAGAAGTTCCTAACAAAGCTTGACTGGTACCCGAATTTGACAAACGACAAATGTCATCCAATAGATACAGTCCATCGCGCAAGCTACCACTGTCAATCGTTCTCCCCGTATTCAATTCCTGAAATATACAATGAGTAGGGTAAAAAGTTACTTTGCAATTAAGTGTTTTGTGATTAAGCTAACATATAACAGATTAATAGGAAGTCTAGGAACATGAAGAACAAGGGAGAGTTTAATATTGGAAGTACAATCAATAGAACCTGTGCCAACAATTGGTACTAAGGAGCCGTATAAGGAGCCATCCGCAATGTGAATTTTCGTCTGTGGCCTTGATACTTAAAATATGTGAGAAAATTTTTATAGAGCCTGTTGTGATGTTTATTTGCTCCTGAATCTATACCCAAGAGGGTTTTTTGCATTTTTGCCAGAAAGGTAAGGAAAGCATTACCCTAATTAAGAAAAATTAGAGGTTGCAGTCTAGTTGAAGGACGAATCATATGCTGTGACTACAATCGTTTCAGGGACTGAATCCTCACTTATCAGAAAAGCTTCTAGCAGTAGATTGGTGTTTCCTCAGATAAAGCTCCACTCTTTCTTCACAGCGCCTTTAGTGTGGTCGGTCCATCGTAATTTCCACAGAACTCCTTAGTGGTGCCTATTCTTACTGCAATAGTCACAAGAATAATTGATCTTATCTGAAGAGCTGCTCTTTGCAGCTGGTAATATGGTTCTCTTGCGGAATTAGAATCAACCCCTTCTTTGTCAATTGTAGAGATCTTATGAACCATAGCGCTCCTCCTAGTCCTCCTCTTGCTGTATGAAATGAGTTATGCTTGTCGTAAGGATGAAAAGGATCTCGTCCAAGAACTTGGATTCGAATCTGATCATACTCGTTATTTAGGCCCAGGCCAAAAAAATCAATACACACGTTCTACTTCAATCTACTTTTGAACTGAGGTCGCATCATCAGTACAATCTTGCTTGAAAGTCTAGATAAATTAATCCAGTTTCTGCCATAGACTCACTAAGTTTAGCAAAAATATCTGAGGGATAGTCAGATCTCCCTGCTTGGTTTCATGACTTTTCTTGTCATGAATTACATACCCTCTGAGCATGAGTTTCCAGTTTGTGAATACGTCAAGTTGAAGCCGATCCATACTGTCTTAGTTTTGTATCAAGAAGCAAAATATCCTCGGGAAATATTGGCTACATGGAGAATTTTTAACCAAGACATAATAAGAAGAATTCTCGGATTTCCACTGTTAAAGGCCGGATCTGTCGAAACTGGTTTAATTGCTCACATCAAGGTATCCTCTGCAGAAACCTCTAGCTTCAATGAATAATAAACAGAGACGAGAAACCCAAGTCAGGTAGTTTGTTCATTTAACTTCACCGGACTACTAATCTGAAGTGAGGGGCCTCTCTCAGTGAAAAAACCGCTATCTACCCTTCTTTTCCGTCACCATATTCTTTAAAAGAAGATTTTAAACGCGCAGCATCAGTGGTAAAGAAAAAGGCAAGCAGCGGTAAAGAGGCACAGCAGTAGTGGAAAGGGAAATAATTCCAAAAGGCAAAAACTGGTGCTGAAGAACCCCAATAGGTCTGAGTCGCCACACTGAGTCAAAGTCGCGCGGGAACAAAGAAATCATCGACGGATGCTCGCCGAAAATCAGCCGCAGACGCGCAGGCTTCGTGAAGAACACAGAAATCTTTTAGAGGCGCAGAAGGCGCGTGGTCAGACGGCGACGTGGTTTGGAACGGAGTGTCGATCGATTGTCAGTCGTTCTTGCCTCTGAGACAGGCAATGAACGACCAACTCCCACTTCCGGGCGGTGGCTGTGGTGTATCTTTAGAACCAACTTTTGCCAAACTGAAATACCTTTGCCAAGAAAAATTCACGGCAATGGCTCTGATACCATTAAGAAATATTAAATGGAAGAATATGTTTATTTCTTTCAATTGTAATTTATTTTTCAAACCTCTACTCCACTATATATATATAACAAACTGTTCCAATATAGGAAGTAATTATAAAGAGGAATAAACCTAAAACTAAGAAACACAATCTTTACACTAATAGGGAATAACCTAAACAGGAATAATGCCTTTATTTACTTTAATCACAAGATTTCAACATGTTAATTATCTATTCATAATCATATATGGTACAATCCGATTTAGTAACCAATTTGATTTGACTTTTTGAAGCCCATGGGTGGTTTGGTAAAAGCAATAGTCAGCAACTCCTATGCAATCACTGACTTTTGAACTTTAAAATAAGCTAACAAATGGCCTTATTGGACCAAAAAGCTAGAATTTCTTTTACGAACTCAAACATCTAGCTATTATTAAAAAAAAAAAGAATTCTAATTAGTTCTGATAACTGTGCTTCAAAATATTGAAAAGATGACGCCTCTACACTCTAACAGTTCCAATACCGTCTATTGGCTTCTCTGGCTCGACCACTTGTGTAAGTATAGTATAATTGTGTAGACTGAATGGATCTTCGGTCCTACGCGGGAAAAGAGACCTCCCTATTACTAATAGGGGTAAACGAAAGGCCTTGAAAGTCAAAGAAAACTGCACTTCCCCTATTTTATCAATATCTCAACAGGCAAGCGAAGGTGCTTTATGAATGAGGCCACTCTGGTCAACAAGCCAATTCAGTAGAACTTCCAAACAATTACAAAGGTATTGCTAATAATAAAGAAGTTTTTTTTTTTTCTTCATTTTTTATCAAATGTTAATACACGACGCATATTGGAAAACCCGCTTTTTAAATATCAGATTAAAATAGTAAGTATTAAAATTAATAGTTTCAAAATAAATATAGATAGTATTTAATATGCATTGTTTTAATTTTCTTAATTATCATATCCATCAAAATAAAGAACATAAAAGATATAAAAATTTTGCTTAAAACTATCATCAATTTCTATTGTTATGTATCTATATGCTTAATACTAAAAATATCATTGCACGAAATATAGTATAATTTGTCAAAATACATAAAATAATGTCCTTAATTTGTCCTTCTATAATCTTACTGAACTTTCACATTTGAATCACCAAAATATTTAAATCATTGCAACCATCAGCCCGCTGACAGTTGAACGCCCAATTGCTGACCTGAAGAAGGCCTTTAAGTTACAACTATCGTTCCAAAGTATCGCTAGACTCTTATCTAATTGTATCCGTTGAAATTATAGACCGATGCCATAGGCAGATCCAAAAAGGAGGACAGCAAAATTAATTATACTAGATAATGAATATATTTAATATTAGCATTTTTATGTAATTATCCCCAAAGGTCACTTTAAGAGGTTCACAAAACATTTAGTTGAAGCATCTACTTCATTATAACCTTTTTTGGCCACATAAAAAGAGTAGCCCTAACAACTTATCTTGTACTGCCCCACCTGATCCTATGTACATACCAACAAAGAGAAGATCACAATTCACATATTTTCCTTCATAATTCTGGTAATAAATATTAAATCTCTCAATATGAATCCAATCTCCTCTCGCAAATAAGCCATAGAAAAATTTCAAAGTAATATGAGAAGGATATATGAAGTTATAATTTTTATGTTTGGTTCAAAATTAAACCTCAAGTCAAGGGGGCCAAAATCAAAAATTTACTACATTATTTGAGCAAGGTTCTTTCACCTAAATTCATTCATCCAATCCAATAATTCTATATTTGTTTGTTTTCCAAGTTCAAGATAACCTGAGAATTTAATTCAATATATTAACAACCTTTAAAAATCCTCACTTTTCTACTTGAGTGATTGTATTTTGTCCGTAGAGTTGGGAGCACCATTTTAGTAGGCCCTAATGATGTAAAGTTGAATTTTGACCATGGAACAATTATAGGTCAAACAATTAAATGTTTCAAACACTTCGCATAATGGCAAGACCTAACTTTGCATTCAGATTTTTCGAAAACCCCCACAACTCCCGTAAACACTTAACAACAACTACTGCATTGCTGTATAATACACCTTCATAAGCTTAACCTTTCAGGATTAAAGGCAATGGTTCGATCAATACAACTGCCTGCACATTCAAAATATTTAGAAATCATCTATTAGTCAGTGATATGCGGTCAGCTGGAAATTCAGCTAAGACTGTTGAGAAATAAACTCAAATATAGGAGAAGAAAGAATAAGCAAGCCCTACCAGACACTCACATGAATCCACGGTGTTTTTGCTATATCCATAGTTATGGGTAATAAACATACGGATAAAAAAGAGAAAAATATGGAGAAAAGAAAAGCTTCCCTTTTGGGCATTGAACTCTAAAATCATTACTTTAGAGAGAGATATAAAATACAAAAATCTCCAGCTATGATGTATACTTTAAAAAGAATAAAATATAATATATAAATATATATGCATATATAGATACCCATCAAGACGCAGACAATATGCAGTTGTTCTTTTCCTGCCATGCAAAACAAAAAACCCATGTCATTTAAAAATTGAATTATAATATATCCGGGCAATAAAGATCAAATAGGCCCTGAAATATATACGGGCCCATTCACTCAAAAGTTGGCCCTAAATATTTTTTATTTGCAACACCAATTTGGGAATAATAAATACCCATAAATGCATTTCGTTTGTTCCCCAAAACTTTAATGCTTTTTTATTTAAGGAGTATTCATAAAGGATAATTAAGTACAATTTTATCAACCAAAAAGTGAAGCAATCAGCTGTAAATGAGCATTAGATCTATGTACATTAATTGGACAGTTTAAAATAACAGAATGTTGTACTTGGCCTATATAATCCAAAAGAGTTTTATCTTTGAAACATTTGAATTTCAAATAGCAGTCCAATAAAATTATGTATGTTAGAATCAATAAGGAGTGACAAACCAATAAATGATAATTCTTATATTAATAACCACGATCTCAGAGTCCAATAATAAACAAAATGGCAAGCTCTCTTGTACAACATTCATCAGTAAACGAATGGAGTAATGAAACCTTCAGTGGAGACAGGAGACGCACAAGTGAGATGTATTTAATTCAGTGAAC